ATGCAAAATTCCATAACATTGCATTCTGAATTCATTTCTCATTCACCTTATTTATTCACTAACAACTTCTTCCTGTTTCCAAACTTGATAATTTGATTTGATGAAATGGAATTCTCATCAAACAGGGATACCACTGTCACCTTCAGTGTTTTGTTTTCAGCCTTACTCTTCTAATGGAATGACTTGCTGCACCAGGTGCATAGCTCTCCATGGAAAATAGGGATGACTGAAGAATAAAATGAAGACTAGTATTTTTTTCCAAAAAATAGTGTTTAACTTACATTTTAACCTCATTTATCAAATGAACACTGTAGTTATCAGTATCGTATTTTGATAAATTATACAATAATTCTGAATGAAACACACAAATTTCTGCATTTTACCCCAAATTTAAATATTTTATATACATCAAATTTCAATTATTTTCATAAATTACAACTTGTTTCTTTTCCAGATTCTGTTTTACACCGATGGCCATTAAAATTACTACACCAGGAAGGAAATCAAATACAAAGATCTGATTTATTGTACACTGCGGCAAAAAAGGGGAAGTACAGTTCTATATCTCCTGTTCTACTGGGCCGATTGACAAATTTCAACTTGCATTTTTCATGTCTCGAAAGCGCGACTTCAGATATGTATTATATTTATATATAGCATTGTATTAATATAGGTATTCTGAAACAAATCGGCTTTTTCTGAAATGACATGCCAATTTTTTTCCATATTTCGATTCTACGAATCAAATTATGCCAAACTTCCAAGTTTTGTAAAAGTCGCACAAGTAGTTTTTTAAAAAATTAGCTCTCGAAATTTTAGCTCCTCAATGTTAACTGAATTTGATATATATTTATTAATATCTCTTTTTTATTAAATTTATTTGATTCTTCCTTTCACACTTTGAAATTTTGGTTAATTCCAAATAAAATTCACACTTTTTTTAGGATTTATTTTTAAAATTTGTATTTTTAAGTAATTGTTATAAATTTTTCGAAAAAAAATGTGAATTATAACCTATAAAATTTGTAACATCATCTTAAAGAAGATGTATTTCTAAGCATATCTACAAAAAATTAGAGATCTTTTGTTCAAAATTTCCTTATACTTGGTAGGTTTTGAACGATAATAACGAAAATGTGGTTTAAGCACTCTGTTAAAATTATCTGAAAGAAGGAATGATAGACCATTTTTCCTCTTGTGCATCAATGAAAAAATAAAGTTAGTAGGTTTACTATAAATTAAAAATTCTGCCAAGTTTAAGTAATTAAAATTTCTGGCACAAACTGAAAACAATTCGGCAAGATAAATTTTTAAATTTCTCCATAATTTCTCACCAAAAATTACAAAATTTAATATCTATGCATAATTTGAGTCACAGAATCAAAATATGGAAAAAAAAGTATGTTATTTCAGATAAAGTCCGATTTTGTGTCAAAATACCTATGTTAGAATAACACTATACAGGGTGTTCATAGATCATAGGACAAACTTGGAGGGGTGGTGGAGCGTACTAAAACATGCATTTTTTGTATAGGAATGTAGGGTCTAAAGTGACGGGTTAAGGCAGGAATGAAAAAAAAAAAAAAAAAAAAAAAAAAAAAACACGAGAGGAAAATGTGCTTATGTACAAAATCAACGCAAAGTGCTTCTTTGCAGCAATACAGTATTCATAATAAATGTTCAAAAAAGGGAACACTAACAGTAATAGGAACTACAGCTGTGATTGGCTGGCAATGCAATGGTAGAGGGTGGTACAGTCAAAAGTCGTTAATCCGGACTTCGGCGATTCCGGATTATCGATTTTTCCAGATTATAGATCATCAGTTTAAATCTCGTAAGATGGCATGCAGAAATTACAAAATTAAAAATATGAAACCATAATTTATGAAATAAAGAACAATTATGATCTAAAGGGTATCAAAATTTACAAAAAGAAAAAGCTTAATATCTATTTGTTTACTTTATTAAACATTTCTTTCAATGTAAGTTGTTTAAGTTGCTTCGTTTCATGTGATAATACTTTCTCTTTAATTCTATTAAACAGACATAATTTCTTGTTTAGTTTACAAATTTCCGCTGTTCAAGTCCTATAATTGCTGTGTCGAGAATACCGACTAATTTGTCAATCGAAATTTTTTCGTTTTCAATAACCTCTGTCACTTTCTTCACTATTGGAAGCGAATTATAATGACGAGGAACTTGTTTTAAATCATATCAAAGACGGAGCACATCGAGATGAAATACTACATTTGGTAAGGAATTATCAGCCAAATAAAATAAAAACATCTGCCCTGAAGATAAGGATAGTGCTGACAGATCAACTTCCAATTCATTGCGCGCCGCGGCGTTCCCCCCGCCGAGCAGCGTGAAATTGATAAACAGATTTTGGATTTCGAAACATACTTTCGCTTTAGATCCTTTACATATTAACAAATATATATCGGAAATTCTATTTGATATAATCGAAAGTTTAAGCTTACTTTTATAAAATTGCTGTAACAGTCTGCAAAAAATAATAAGCTGGATCCAATTCGAAGATTAAGGAACAACGCACTCTACAACATTAACTGAATTAGATAATTTTGGCTTAGCTTACACCGTCCGTTATACATTAAACGCGCATGCGTAAACATTTTATGAGCATGCGCACAAGCATATTTGAAGCCGTAAAGGTCTTACACGCGCATGTCAACGCGACGCATGCGCAGAAAGTTTGTAGCTTTGAGGTCCGGATTATGGGTGTCCGAATTAACGACTTTTGACTGTAGTAAGAAGGACAAATCACGATCCGATGCATCAGAGGATCATATGAAACTCTGAGGTCAAGTGTGATGGGCGAGTTTATGCACAAGGAAAAAGCTGATATGCATCTCATGTATGGTGCTGCTGATGGGAACGGCACAGCAGCGCTATGGTTGTACCAGGAACAGTTTTTGAACAGTCGTATGTGAAAGCACACAATGTTCGAGTGGTTACATCGGTCCCTGTGTGAAAACGGGTCATTTGAAGCCACCTCTGACACTAGGAGTGGAAGAAGACGTGCACACAACCTCGCATTAAAGAATCCATCTTGAACATTGTGCATGAATCACCTCAGACAAGTACAAGAGCTATTGCACGTCGTCTACAGCTGAGTCATTCCACCGTTTGGAGAGTGCTGTCATTCGTGATCACATGTGGTTCCAGCGTGATGGTGCACCAGCCCATAACCACGTGCGGGTCCGCAATTACTTGGATGGGACATTTCCGGGCCGATGGATCTGCCGTGGTGGACCTGTTCGATGGCCACCCTGTCTGCCAGATTTATCCAGCTTGAATTTTTTTATTGAGCCATCTGAAGAGCATTATTTATGAGACTCCCGTTGACTCACTGGAGGACCTCATTGCATGAATATCCATTGTGGCTGCACGCATGCGCGAAATGCCTGTCGTTTTTCAAAATGCTCGTCAATCCCTTCTGCGATGTTACTAACCATGTATCACTGCTGGTGGTCGCAATTTTGAACATTTATTGTGAATACTGTATTGCTACAAAGAAGTACTTTGTGTTGATTTTGTACATAAACACATTTTCCTCTCGTGTCTTTTTTTTTTTTTTTTTGTGTGTTCCTGCCTTAACTTAGACCCTACATTCCTGTAAAAAATGCATGTTTTAATATGCTCCACCACTCCTCCAAGTTTGTCTCATGATCTATGAAACACCCTGTGTATAAATCTAATATATATCCTAAGTCGAGCTTTCGAGGCATGAAAACGCAATTTGAATTTCGTCAATCAGACAAGCAGAAAGGGAGATACAGAACTGTTCCCCCTTTTTTTTGCAGTGTACATATATAATATAATGGGTGGAAGACATGATTAAGTTTGCAGTTCATTTGGGGTACACAATGTGCTGAATTCAGTACACAGAAATGACACTTAACAACGGCTACAATCTGGCAAAGCATCGAGTCGAACTCAGCTTGAATAACAGGTATGGGTATTTCATTCCATACAGATTCAACTCTAAGCCAGAATTCATCAACTGCAACGGTCAGTGAGAGCTGCCATGCCAGTCTCTCAGCAACATATGACCAGATATTCTCAATAGGCAAGGGATTTGGTGAACATGCTGGCCAGAGCAATAGCCAAACACCCTCTGGTTGAAATATAATGGTAACTGTCGACGTGCTATGTGAACAAGAGGTGACCAATATGTGTACCCAATGGCACCTCACACTAGCGTGTGAAATCCTCAGTTCATATGACAATTGAAAATGCAAGTTAGCAAAGTTTATTCTTCTGAGTGCCTCCACGTATGGATATGTTCATTGTAATGCTGTACATAGAACCAGGATTCATCTGAAAAGACAATGTGGTATCACTCCTCTGTCCAGTATTGTCATTTATCACACTAATCTAGGCATGCCTGTCTGCTACAGCATCAAGAGAAGCTGTGACAAGACATGGTGCTGCAGACATCAATGCACTATCTATGCGGGCACTTGTCAGACTGTGCATGAGCCAAGTTCCTAACTCAGAGTATATGACATGATCCCACAAGGCCTGAGAGGAGGGGACATGCCTGTACTTTTCTGCATTAGTAGCCCAGGACTACTGAGATTTTGTATGGTATTCAGCAGTGGTCCTCCTGGACCCATCGATTTCATAGTCGTCAGACGGTCATGGGTGCCAGCAGTGTCACAGAATGATAAACTGCAGTCCTGATTGTCCACAATCCTGCTACAGTAAGATTTTAACATGGATAGTAGAAGCTGATTCTTCTTGCATGAGGCATAAGATGACTTCAACACAAACAACCAATGTGATTTCCAAACAAGAAGCCTGCTGAATGCTCCTTTAATGAATAGCAATTTTAATGGCCAATGGTATAATTTAAATTACACAAGTTCACACACACACACACACACACACAAAAAAAAAAAAAAAAAAAAAAAAAAAAAAAAAAAAAAGAACAGTAAAATATTTTTATCACTAAAATTTGCATATACTTCACTTACTTGCATGACAAGTTCAAGAACAGAGTTTACAGGTGCTGTTCCACTACCTAATGTGCATAATATCCAACCCTCAAAACCAATAGATGACATAAATTTCTTGTTCTGTGAATAGGAATAAAATTGAATAAATTGTTAAAATAATGAGTCTACTTATAATACTGAGCTTAATAAGCAACATGTAAGTTTGCATTCGTAAAATGATTTAAAATATATTAGCTTACAAAAGCATCTTGTAATGTTTTCAATGCAACTTCTTTTGCAGAAAATAATCCTCCAGATTCACTCATGCGCATAGTTTCAACTGGCTGAAAATAACAGAACTAGGTTAAATTCTTAAAGATTAACATAGATAAAATAACAAGCAAAATTTTTAAATGAAATGTTTCATTTTAGGTAATGAATGATGACCACTTCTGAAAGTGAGAAGTATTTCTCAGAAGATAATTAAATAATAATACTGAACATCAAAAATATCCATATTCTCTAAAATGACTATTTCCACATCCTAGATAGTCGTTTTAGGAAGGTTTCATGGCACGTGTTTTAATACACAATTTGCTTTAAATAATAAAGTTACGATTTTTAATATTAAACAGATTTTGAAAACATTTTGATTTTTCGTAATGAAGAAAATGTTTCCTACCCTAAATCTGCTCATTAAAAAAATTTTTTTAAAGTTCTAAACTTTCAGTAATAACCAACAGAAAATATATCTCTAGTTATAGCCTTTAATCAGAATTTTCATGCAGTTTTCTAGTATGTCTTCAATCTAAACTAAAACTAATTACTTTATTAATGACAAGTCAAACTTCAGCTTATCTTCAGCCTTCAGAATGCAAAGAATCCCTAGGCTTATGCCGTGAATGTCCCTAAGCCATGTTATGAATAATTTTAACTTTCATTTATTTTTATTTCTCAGACTTAATTTTCACAATAAATAGTTAATCACGGAGAAGGTGTGGTGTGGTGTATTTAATTATGACAAAGCACACTAGGGCTATCTGCTAAGGGGAGGGATACCTTTCATGGAGGACTTTCTAAGGGAAACTGGCTCGTATACACGTTACACATGGGGAAAACCACGAAAACGCCCATGCAGCCAGCCCGTTCGCGGGATTCGAACCTCGGACCGAACTACCAGTGTTCAGCGTCTTTACTGCTCGGCCGCTGGTGGGCACACGGAGAAGGAGAAAATGTTATTTTACAACCAGCCTGCTATAATTGTTATGCTAACATGCCTATTGTTAACATGTCTTAAATTTTCTGCATTTAATGTCTTCATACATTTTTTGTTTTTCGGCATTAACACAAGAAGAATAGTTTAACAAAGCATTTAAAATGTTAAACTGATGTAAACAAGTTTATACAAAGTATAAAGTTAAAGAAAATAATACTATAAGATTTTATTTTTAATATATAAATGGCAAATTTTAAAATATTTGGCCCATTTCATTTCAGGCTATAATTATTTTCAATTTAAAAAACTATCCATACATATGTATAAAAGGCAATATACCTTATCTTTGATTTCTTCTGCAAAGCCAGGGGTATCTGTATCAGGAGGGAAAGATACTGTGACACTTATATTATATGGCTTAACCTAAAACAGACAATAAGACTAAAATTATGAATTTATGTTAGTATAAATTAAATTAAGGAATGAATACTATTTACAGATTATAACAATGCAACATTTCAATTCATGCACAAAGAGTGATTAAAAAATAAGCATATTTTGTAATGGAGTATGTGCACAAATAACTCATTGAGGCAATGCAGGATACTGTTGCACAATGAGTAAAAGCATTCTGCTGGCATAAATCATCACTCTTTACATGAATTTCAAATGGTATGAATTGCTATATGAATATAGAGCTCACCAACACGAATTTTTCCTACTTCGTCTTATCGGACGTAAAACTCCGTCGACCTAAGGTGTCATACTCCCTTTGGCTGAGAAGCATACCACTTAAGAGGTCACTCGAGACGATGCTAAAAAAAGAGGATGTTAAAGAGGGCCGTAACCTCAGAAAATGAAGGTGTAGCTAAATCAGAGAAGCTACCCAAAGGAGATATAGGAAATGATTATGAAGTATCTGCTTTGAGCAGATGCTCCATTTCTTTTTACAGTTCCATAGATAAAAACTGCACAAGGAATGATAATTTATGTCAACAGAACACTTTTACCTTTCACTCAACAGGGTCCTGCATTACCTCAGCATGTCATTTCTGAACACACTTTCCGTTACAAAATCTGCTTATTTCAGGTGCCTCTGCATTTTTACGAGATATTTTTGAGTCACTCTGCATGTGCATATATGTGATAATTTGAAAATAATAAAAACCTTTATCTTTGATATTTAATTATATGTTTATTATATTATCCAGTATTATTTATTATCAGCAATTATCATGGCCTGTTCAGAGCATCAAGAATACAAAAAACATAACATGCCATTCTTCCTATATTCATCTCAAAACTTAACATTAGTGCTGACATAAAAACTTTATATCTGTTAATTAGATGGAATATGGTAAATTTAAGGTGCTGAAAGTTCTTTATTTTTTCAGTTCTCATTCTATATTAAATATTAAAAAATTCCAAATGCAACTAAAATTAATTTTTTAGGAGATTACCTTTAAACTGTTAAAGATCAAAAGTTCTCAAAACTAGATTTGAAACTTCAAAATATTTTAATTTGAAATATTTTGCTAACAATTTCTAAAACAATGTTATTCATTATGAAAAACTCATTCTGGAAAAGAATGAGTAATAAAAAAGATGCACTTGGTAGAATCATTAATTTGGTTTTAAAATAAATACAGTAAGCTTATAAGTAAACTTATAATCAGTCCCCTTTTAATAACCCATATTTTCACCAGGATTCCTCCTTCCCTGAATCAAAAAAAGTATGCTGTTATTATTTCTTCTAGAATGCAAAGAAAAGTTAAATGAAAATTTTGAAAGCTCTTAAGTTTTAGTTAATGGTTGGCTTTTGGATTGTCGTTACTATCTGTGTTTTTTGTATCAATATTTGTTGTTTTTAATATATTTTTTGAAATCAAGTGGAAAAGGAATACATTAATTATTGAAAGGAAATTCAAAGCATTGGAATACATTGCTAAATAGAAAGCCTTTGTAAAATGTTACTCAGTGTTGGAAAAAGTACAGGGCCTAACAGGCAGAAGAATCATAAGACATCATTAATGTTATTAATTAATTAATCAATTACCAAATTACCACTTTTTTCCAAAAATTAAAAAAAATAACTACTTTTCCCCCAAACAGAAATACTGAATAGCTAATGAATTTAATTTTCAAAACTGTTATTGTTATTCCATTTTAGGAGCCGTAAAATATTGCAGCGAAAATATAAACGCAAAAGCGCCAAATCTAGCAAATGTGCACATTTAACAGCACTCCAAATCTAGCGAAGGTGCCGAAGTGTGTAAATTTAGATAGTTCTATATTTATAAGTCGCCATTGAAACACTAGTTTAATTTTTTAATTCTTTTCTAATAAGCCTATGGATTTAACAATTTGGCAATTTCCCAATGACAAAAAGTCTACAATAGAATTTTTTCTAAGAACAGGCATCATTCATGATAGAAAATTATGTTCAAACAACCATGAGATAAAATTATGTTTTAGCAGTAACTCAGTAGCGAAACAGAGGTGCAGAAAAGAAACCTGTAATTAGAAGAAAGGATTAAGAAGTCAAAATTAGTTTGAAGGATCAAAAATCCCCTTACTTAAACCATTAGGTTCATCTATTTTTGGTGTCAGGAGATGACATCTATTGAATTTTGTGAACTCCAGCAGAAGAGAGTGCAGAGTGGAACAGTTAAATGTGTTAGGAATGTGACGCAACTTTATTTACTCGGCATTACTTGAAAATCAGCGGATGAGGCAAAATTGTTGAAGTAGACAAAAGCCTTTTTAGTAGAAGAAAGAATAACGTTGGGTGGGTTCTTCTACCACAATTTGTTTTCGGTGGGTTATGCAAAGAATCGAATGAATGTTTCTTCTTAATTGCTGTTCCAGAACGATCGGCGAAAACTTTATTGAACACCATAAAAGAAAATATCGTAGAAGGAAGCATTGTTTTATACTGACTGCTTGAAATCATACAAGTCGGATGAACTGCAAAATGCCAGTTTTGACCATTTTACTGTCAATCACAACTACAATTTTGGATTGACGTTACTATATGTGTAAAAGTGAAAGTGAGTGTCATAGACAAACAGTAGAGCAGCTGTGTGGCAATGCTAAATGGCATAATAAGTTGCATTGCTCGACAGCATTTAGATTATTATTTGTCCAAGTTTATGTACAGATGCTTGCACAAAAAACTGAAATATTCTCTACTATATTGGAAGACATAATTATATCTCCCGTTTAATTTCAGTTATGTTTAGCTTTTTGTTTGTAAATTATAATAAGAAAAAATGTATTTACATGAAATTAACCTTTCATTCAAACTAAAACAATAATCTTAGACAGTTATTTACTATTATGTTTCCTTTCTTGCGTTAGGGTTTACCGTAATTATTTTTGGTAGCATTGGCATCAACAGTAGTTTGGTGATTTTTTACGGCCCTTATAACGGAATTGTAGCTTGTTATTTTATAGTCAAGACTTTAGTACGCAAGAATATTTGGTGAAGATGCTTTCTAAGAAGTCGGAAAATGAAGCCACTGATACTGAAGAAAAATAACGTAATGAATAACTGAAATTATTTTATTTTGAATAAACATTTTCATCATTAATTTATTGAAAACAGAATAAGATTAATATTGTGCTACCTATGATGCAAGTGGGAGTTTAATCTTGCCAGCTGTGAATATGAGAATGATGAGTAAGCAAAAAGTGCCTTGTTCTGCAGAACAAATGATTATTACTATGTTTTTTCCCTAGAGAAAGGGCCTCAAGCTTACAAATTTCAATCAGGCTTTGGAGACAATATGCATAACAGTGTCTGTCACATATAGGCAGGTGGGATGTGTCCACATCTTCCGTATGATATAGGGAGTTACTTTGAACAATGACATACTTTGCAACCATGTAACCTTTCCAATTTTCTTGTCATTACATTTGCCTGGGCCCCATCTGAATGCTCTTGTAGCTTTACCAAACAGCTTACTATGTATGCCAAATAAAGTTGATGCATTACTGACTGATAACTGATTAAAGTATAACACAAAATATATAAAACCAAAGTTTTATAACCATGATCTAAGGGCTATAGAAATCTAAAATCTGGTCATATAGAAGCCAGTTAATTCACATACACAATAAAACTTCTAAAAATTATTCATATTTCTAAGAATGATCTTTTTGAAATTGTCCCTGGCAGGTGAAATATGCAACTCAAAATTTTTGATTAAAAAAATCAGATTACTTGATATGAACACTTTGAATTGCACTCCACTTGACTATCAATTAACTATTATACACCAGATTTACAATTTACTAATTGAATTCTTTGCTGAAAATTCCATTTAACAGATACTCAACTGACAACAACAGCACAGATTAGAATGATCACAGTAATGTTTCATTTCAATAAAATTCAAACAATTATTTAAATAGTTACAACTTATGCTATTACCATTTCTAATGTCTTTTACATCTTTCTAGAATAAGCTTTTGGTACTCTTCTGTTATCAGGACCAGATTTAGAAATGTATCTACGTATGGATGCACGGATGGATTCATGTATGCAATATACTATATATGTATGTAACATATCTATGTGTGTGTGTATAGACACAAATATATGCATATACATACATATTCATGTATGCATTCCTGAAAACATATATACATTCCTGAATCTGGTCCTGATAACAGAAGAGCATGTAAGGTTTTGTGCACAAGAAATATAAAAGTAACATGACAGAGCAAAAATTAAAAGCATCTAATTAAAGTTTATTAACATTATAATCTGAAATGATAAAAATGTTCTTATGATGAATCCATATAATATAACCGTAACAACTAAAAACTTCTATTATTATTACAAATTACGAGTTATTTGAAATAGCTATTATCATTACACTAATATAAAATTTTTACACCAAACAAAAATGACATCCCAAGAAATTATGACTAAAAAATGAATAGACCTAATTTCTGTGTTTATAGATATGAAATAATTTAAATATTTTTAGATAGCAAACAGGGCATTTACTAAACTACATAAATTAAATCATTCAAATATATCATACTAGCCTCCATTTGGAGCGCTTGTGCCAATCCAAAAAGAGCAAATTTTGATGCAGAATACGCAGTGTATCCAAACAAACCAATTAAGCCTGCTAAAGATGATACAAAGACAATTTTACCACGTTTTCGTTGTTTCATCAAAGGTAATACAGCATATGTCATATTAACACTGCCTAAATAATTCACATTCATCATTTTCTAAAGGGGAAAAAAAGAATTAGTCAAAAATTTAAAATACATACATAAATCACACTCAGCACAAACAGAAGAAAATTTACAACACTGTACTGTTACCAAGAAGCAGAAATGCTGTAAGAATTAAAAAGTAAAATAAAATAAAATAAAGGAAGGTTCCAAATACACTTTATTAAAATACATGTGTATGTATATATATATACATAAAAAGGTCACAGCTATAGTCATGGAACGTAGCATGCAAACATCATTCGAAGAGTTGCACAAATGATTGAATTTTCAGTGTGCCAATGATGCAAGATGACACATTCAACACCAGGGAAAAGACATTAAAAAAAGTTTTCCCTCATAGGCAATTTTAAATGTATCCTTCCCTTCAAAATTACAAATTATGTACAAAGATGCCTTTGAAATGTATTCAATGGTGCTGTGAACAATAGCCTGATTTAGAGAGAAGATGAATCATGGGCTAAGAAAGTGGGTAGGTCCACCAGATATATCAATCACCCTCTCAATGAGCTATTTACATTTCAGATGTACTTTGCTATATACCTTTCAGATGTACTCGATGGTGCTACAAGCAATAATCTGATTTAGAGAGAAGATGAATCATAGGTTAAGAAAATTGAGTTAGTCTACCAGATACATCAATCACCCTCTTGATAAGAGTAATATGGTCATTTTTCAGTGATAATAACAATGGATTAGAGAAAGCATATATAATTATCAGAATTAGAGATGCTCACATGACTGACTGTACAATCAGGATACAGTAATGACTGCACCCAATGGCACTGCTATAAACCATTTTAAGGCTTTGCCATCCTCCATGCATCCTATAGCATCAAAGGATATCATTAAAAGATGACTGGCAAAAGATAAAGTAAGGTAGTAACATTGATTAAAGATGCTGTTATTGGCATTCAACAATACAGACAGAGCAATTTGGATTGAAGCTGAGTTCGGTCATCATAGATAATATTTGGTCAGAAGGATGTTAGCATGTTCTGAATAGGAACAAATCTACCCCCCCTTTTCTTTTTCTTTTTAATGCTGATGAACATTACTTATGTGTGTATGAAGGAAATGATCAATGTTCTGATCCCCAATTTGCTGTTGAATGTCACACAGCCATCACACTTAATTTGACAGTCTAGGGCAGTGATACTCAGCTTTCAAACTGACACATGAAAATTTAAAATTAAAAAAATTTTGGCGATCAACAAATATATATTGCATTTTTAATATTTTGATTATATACATGTATGATGCACAAACTATAAAAATGTGTTAAAGAAAAAGTATAATTATGTATTCTTTATATTACTATACATTAAAAATTACACAAGATGTAAATTAAATACAGAAAAAAGATATTTTAATGTGAAACCTGACACTGTGTATAGAGTACTTTGGTATATACAATGTTATGGTTAAATTTATGCAATCAGTTACATGTTTGTTTGTTATCCTGGATCTGAACTTTTGATTTTATCAAGTTTATTGTTGAAAAACCACTTTCGCAATAGTAAGTTGATCAAAGCCAGGAGTCTAACCTTTGAAAAGTTTCTTTTAAGTGAGGATATTTTTTCTCATCTATGACTATACAAAAGTTTGTTCACGAAATTCTTGTTTTTTAAATGTAGATCAGATTGAAAATCTATTATTTCCATATCTAAATCAGTATAAATTTTATTTAACATATTTGCATTCTGCTGCAATATTTTAGAAATATTAGTATCAGCAAATGGATTTGAAATGAATGAAGTAATGGCTGAATTTTACAAAAAAACTGAAAATCCAATTTCGAAATTATTTTGAAGTTTGATGAGATTTTCATACATTTATTCTCAAAATTAATGAAAAAAATATTTCATTGCTCATTCATCATTAAAATTATAATTGTAAGTATGTTTTTTCTTTTTTTTTCCCAGCTCTTGTGATAACATGATTAGGGTAACTACAAAATCATATATCTATTGAGACTAATGAATAACATACATAGAAGAAGTGTATTTTTCTATAACTTCGAAAATTCATTCTATGTTGATGGCATGTGTTTCATACAGCCTACAGCAAATTACTGATGGTGGCATTGTAAATTAACTAGACACTGCATGGCAAAAGCACTCATAATCATCAAATGAAAATGGAGCATTCAGTTCAATCTGAAATAACGCACCATAATCACAACACATTAAATATTGAGACATGGACCTTATGCTTTGTCCTGACACTAATGTTGCTGTGTAATGACTAGTGTAAAATAGGGTGTCCACTGCACATCCCAGATGGTGGCCTAATTGGAATTCAACTTTTCATTGATCTCTTGGTTCTTGACTTCACAAAACTGAGAAAGGATCAGAAGTGCAATCTGAGCCACATCAAGAGGTCCCAAGAGCCACGGATTACGCATGCCTGATTTAGAGTGACATTTCTTGTGACAGCTGGTTTCTTGCAAGGAAATCTAACGGCTTGCAAGTATGTTGAAATCATTTTGCAGCTCAGAGTACTATATATGCTTTAAAGTTAGCTAGGTGTTATTTACCAGTAGGACAACCATTGATTATATACTGCATACTTTAAATGGCAGTTTCTTCAAGGATTCAACACATTTCAAAGGCCAGGCACCCAAATAGATCTATCATCAATAGAACATATTTTTGGAACATATTGGAATAAAACTATAATATTCTCAGAACATTATTAAATTAGTTGAATAGATGTAAAATTCTCAGCAGAATCTCCTACAGAGGGGCATGCATAAATAATTTTCCTTCTAAGTGTTATACTGAATATCAGCTGCTACTATAAAACTTACCACTTATTAAAATGTGATCCTTTTATCGCTATTTTTTAAACATTTTGTTGCACTAAAATTCTAATTATTTGCATTATCAAATTATACATACATGTTGAATTTTACAACAGTATTTCAATTTTTTTACAGACAGACAGATGGATGGACGAACGGTGGAAGCACGCACGAACGGTGGACGCCAATCAATGGCACAGTGACTCAATAGATAGCAGGTGCTTGAAAGTGAATACAGGAATCTCAGCTAGTCTGAAGAAGAACCACTTTTACGGCATATCTACCCCTCTTGAGTATTAGATTTTTTTCAGTCATAGACTTTGCAGATTAAAAAAAAAAAAAAAAATCTTGGAAAAAATTGCTAGTGGTTTTGAAGTTCGTATATTAGTTCATTCCAGATACCAAGTGTCTGGATTTCAGACTCTGTACTGTATAAATAATTAAAAAATATACTCTTAAACACATATAACATGAAAAATTAAAATACAAATTAACTTCCCTTTAATAACAATTCCTGCTAAATGCAAAAATTTTTATTTAAATTAAAAATTTCTCTGAATTTATGTGATTCTATTTTTCAGAAATATAATAACTGGAAATATAAATATCAAATTTTTTAAAACATAATATAGCAAATTATTCACTCATAAATTCACGGTATTTTTTATTTTATCTGGAACAGTGTTGCAGCAACATAAACTAGAATCACAACTTATGCCTATATTTGCTATATTAGTATCTGCTAGATAATATCCCAGTATAATGATTCTCATATAAATGACAGTATGAAAATAAATGCATTTCTCAGTCAGATCGATACAATTAATGACATGCAATATTTTAACTCTCACATTTTGGTTTTATTAGTATAAAATGACAAAAAAAAAAAAAAAAAAAAAAAAAAAAAGATCCAGAAAGTATCATACAAGGATTCACTGTTTTATTCTGTAACATTTCAGTAATTAAAGGATTTTAGTAGACAATTAAGCGAGAAAGAAAGAGATATGGTTATATCAGTACTATATGATCATGTCAATATCAGGTTCCTTCGTACATTATACTATATCAGTTTTGATGAAACTATGAAATTACATCCCAGTAACACCTTTCTTTTTGGCATCTTTATTAGAGCAACAAAAAGATTTAAGTGGCAAATTTTGTTATTTAATACCTACCCCAAAATTATTGAACATATTCTTTATCTACTATATAACCTAAAATTAGTCCTGTAGCTATTTTACCCATTAATTTTGCTTATTTGTTTGCTTACAACATTGAAAGATATAAGGTACCCAAAGAAGATACTTTGTCAATCCTCAGCCTTTATGAAATATGCAGAGGTAGTTTGAAAGAACATCATAAAATGCAGTTTATAGCATGTACGCATAACTAGCAGAAAATTTAAATTAGTGCAAACTAAATATTCGCTCCCCCCAAAAAATGTCTGCATCATTCTTTATTGAAGAACTTGTGTAATTGTTAAATTTTAGTTAAAATATCTTTTCATAAAGGTAAAAAATATCAGATAATGAAAAAAGTCAAATATTAAATTGGTCAACCATTTTACTGCATCAAATAGAAGAAAAGCATGATAATATAAAATTTTAAATTAAGCTAAAAAAAGCACTTTATTTTTGACATAGATTTTGAATAACAGTTTTGAGGACAATCAAACTTAGGTTGATCTTTTTCAAAGGCAAAAAAAGAAAAAAAAAATTCTTGCAAAATGGGAAGAGTGACAGCTATTTGTATATTGACTGGTGCAGCAAAGCAAGCACAAATGTAGTGCGGTCTATCAAAGACAGCATGAATGACTTTTGGAAAACTAAGATGTTAGAATTTTGAAAGCATTAGACATTAGACATGGACTGGAATGAATATCATTGATTAAGAAAGAAAAGTTTTTTTTCTTTTTTTTCCTATTCTTTTTTTGGTAAATGCAAAAAGCTTTAAGAGAATCCAAATCTAATTCACCATTTAAGTTGCTTCAGGAATAATTTTTGAAGAATCAAAGTCGAAATTGTGATAAAGTATCTATCATCAGCACTGACAACATGTGTGCTTTCTGAAGATAATGAAGAGATTTTACCAATATTATATTATGAATTCAGTTGCTCCAGCTATTCCATTCATTTTTTAAACTGAACCTGATAATTTCCTTTCGCTTATCACTAAAAATGAATACAAAACAAAATATTTGCAACTTGTAAGCATGGAATCACATAAGCAGAGCCCTTTCTTTTCTTGATATTTAAGACCTGATATTAAATGATTCAATTTGATTCCAACATTACACTTTGCAAAAAAACACTTTTTGTCTACTTGTTTTCCCATACTAAATTATGTCACTCTGTTAAACAAAAAATGGTTTCTTTTTACTTTTATGTATACTGAGCTTTCTAAGTTCTTCACAACCTTTACTATTCATGAACTCAATTATTTGAAATCGATTGCTGTTGACAAAGAATTTTCTCATATAATCTTAGATGAAGCCTTTAAAAAGTTTTCATCTTGCCATCAAGAAAGACATTGCACCATTATTCTGCATGTTGTTATTCCATTTCATGCATCTATCAGTCATAAAATCACTTGGATTCTTCAGAAACTCAACTCTCAGGTCATTTTCTCACCTCTCAGTAAAATTCATCATTTGATTGTTTAAGGTTCCTTCTCTGATTTTAATGCTTGGGAAATTTATAACACAAAGAGGTGACATTTGGCATAATTTCAAATAATTCCGAATTATTGATGTGAAACACATATATTTTCAAACTATTTTACTAGTATATATTACTAGTGAGGATGTAAAGAATTTTGGCAAGTTGTTCAGTTATGCAATGAATTATCCCTATAGCCTTTACCAATAGTCATCAGAGCAATTTTCTAACCTAAAAGTTTCACATATAGTTTTGTATAATGAAAATAAATAATATTTCAGTTTGTGCAGCATCTAAGCCAGTGGTCTCAAATTCAAATTCTCTGTGGGCCGCATGCATGATATGTAAACAGCTGACAGACCAGAATTTTTTTAACAGAATTCAAAAATTTTTATTAACAAAATAAAAAATATTTTATATAAACTTAAAATTTTGCTTACCAAGTATTTTTCAAAACATACAAAAACAATAATAATAATAATAATACCATAAAGGAGAAAAATCAGAAACTCATATTTACTTTCTATCTGAAATCTAAAGCTTGGTACCTGCAAGATATTTTTGTTGGTTAGATTTCATAATATTGACAGCTAAATATTAAATTTTCAGGCTGGCAATTATTTAAAATAATGTTAACATGTTTAATTATTCATAAAATAACTTTGTTTAATTTAAATTGAAAAAAAAATTATGAAAATTTTCCAACTAAAACAAAACTTGAGAATAAATGATAACTTAATCTTTTTCTCTTATTTATTAAATTTTTCTTCAACACATAAATAAAAATACATACACTTTTATGTAAATAATTATAAACTTCTTTTATTTTTTACTATAACTTGACACTTAATAGCATTTTGATAAAGTTTGTAGCCTTGGAGAGATTATCTTTATTACAGATTGTAGATGCTCATTGGTCAATCAGGATTTTTTTTATTAATTTTTAAATGCAAAAAAAAGCTGTTCACATTTAAATACATTTCCGAAGAAAGTAACTATTCTTAGAGCAAAAATTCATAACTGAACTTGCATTTATTTTTTGAGCAAGTATATATTAATTTGAGCAAGTAAATATTAATCAAATCTTCATCTTTAGATCTTTGAATAAGATTTATATCACACTGCAAATTAGTTAGCTCCATTTATACATTTTTTGATGTGCTATTCATATTAATGTTTAATGGCAACAAAAGTAATGTAAACTTGAAATTCACATAATTAGAATCTTGAAATCTTTGTAACAATGCATTTGCAACAAATTGATAATTAAAAAGTGTATGCAAGTGGTATAAAATTGCTTTAGGGGCAGCATGTGACCTGCAGGCCACCAGCTTGAAACCACTGATCGAAGCTATCTAAGGATGTTTTTATTCTGGCATAATATCACTCATATAATTAAATGAATGCTCAACTACAAGTTCATGGAAGCAAGTTAAAACAGATTTAATCAGTTTTCTCAAAAACTGGTATTTTTGCTTTCCATCTTCTTTCAGTTTAAATACATTAGCTCAAAATCTTAAAATATCAGTTTTGTCTGTTTCTGAATAAGACAAACAACAAAAACAATTTTTATGTATAAGTCAAACTTAATTTACTTAGACCAGAAGTTTCAGCTCTCTCTGAATTTTATATAGTCTAAAAGTTTTTAATTTATGCAGTCTCTGATTGATATACTTGCTTTAAAACAAAATCTGAAGAGGATTTTGAATTTACAGATTTACATATCAGAAAGTCTACATTTCACATATCCAGAAATTCCAGATTTCAGAAACAAAAAAAAAAAAAAAAAAAGATTACAGAATTCCAGCCATATTCAGAGCACAATCACTCATATTCACACTAGCATATATTCTCATTGTAGTTTGTCATACATGGGCTAAACTAAAACAGTATTAAAAATTCATAGAAACCAGTCCAACCTTCTTAATTCACTCAGAATATGTTTCATTATTATTTTCTTCAATAGATGGCACTATATTAATTGCTTGCTTTGCTTAGCCTACTGCTTGCAGTATCAAAACAGTCATTGCTCCAAACGTTCCCTCTTGAAGAACGTGAATCGGTATATGATTAACCTCAATACTGATAGAATTTTACTCAAAATATGCGCCAGAATAAGACTGCATATTTTGCCTAATTTTACAATGTATTAATCATCATGTTTAACTTATTATATGCCAGCAAGAGAACTTAATGAAACTATCATATATATTTTGATAATCTTACCATCATTTATGATGAGAATACCCTGACTGCATTGCATAAGTGTATCACATAAGCTTTTGTTTTACCTTTTTATTTAAATAAAAAAAGGCAGTAAAACATTAGCAGTTTCAGATCTTTAAAATTAATAATCAATAACTTTAAGGAAAATCTTACAGGAAATCAACTGACAAGTTAAACTGATACAACAGAGAATATATACAGAAAATTAGATTGGAATGGTAGAATACTGACTGAAAAATCCTCCATGGGAGTATCTTCAAAAAGATGGCATACTGATGTGCCTGCACAGTTAATAAGGAAAGTGATTGGACCAGCATTATACTCTGCCTATATTTAAAAATACAAACAATAACTACCTAAATAATTCTTTCAAAATATACTGAAAATACAAATATAACATAAAAATAAATTTATAATAAAAATAGTTAAATAAAATATAGAATTTAAACCCATAGAAAAATTAAAGAATTTCTAAAGAAGTTTGAAAAGAAATTTCTTTTTATATCAATTCTAGATTTTTTAAACTATTTTTGATCTGATACTTGTTATAACTCATATAACTGAATATTAAATTACTCATATTTAATTTATGGTAGAAATTTATTTGACATAAAGAAAGGCTAATTTACAAAATTTTTATATAAAATTCTGTTTCCAGCTTGTAAAAACATGAATGTTAAACTCAAGTCATCATACATATTTCAAATTATGTTAACTATTATGGCAGACTCTAAATTGCTATCAAGCTTACATACATGCTCAGCATAAAGATATTTTGCACAAGCTGTTTTCTAATAATCAGGCATTAAATATTTTATAAACATCACATTATAAAATAGATATATCATGAAAAATAAATATTTAAGTATATTATTATTTTTAAAATTATAACTTTTTACAAATATTAACCTCTAAATGCACTGATGGGTACACTAAACTAAATTATTCCTGGCTTTTTCAGACATGCATACAACAAAACATATCAGCTACAGTTTTGAGTTAAAATAATAAAAGAGATTAAAATAAAAAATACCATTTTCTGAATTTTATTGGTGCATTAAAGGTTTAATTTATACAATAAATTTTAAAGTAATATAGTTTGATCATTTTAGACATATACACCAAAAGACTAAATTTCAAAATAAATTCAAATGTTTCAACTATATTAATTTTAAACTGCAATAATACAGCATTTATTCTGAAGTTATATGGCCATTCAATTTAAGAATCCTAATAACAAAGCATTTAAATGCATTACATATACAATTTAGCAGTGTAGGATATTTTGAATAGGTTTTGTAAAGTCATGCAAATATAACAGCATCCAAGATATTTCATATTATATTTGTGGCATAAATTAACAAAAGTTTCAATTACATATATATACACATTAGACTATACTATATACACATTAGAGAATAAAAGTTGTAAAATGGTCTGATTAAAAATTATTAATTGCAAAATTGCTGACAATTTAAAATGAATAAAGTAGAATAAGTTTGAATTTTAATCATTTTGATGATGGTTAACTACTAAACTTTAAACAAACAATTTAATAGATTTCAGAAATAATCAATTAATCAATTTAATATAATTTAGAAACAAATCTCCATTGATAATTCTATTGGTTGATCCTTAAGACCAAAAGGATTACCAACTTTATTAAATTATTTATTTTAGTTATGTTTTACTCTGCATTTAGTTTCAGGATTAATTTCAAAATTTTTGCTGTTGTTGAAATGTCGTTGAAATAAAATGTTGTTGTTTCAAAGATGAACTAAGGTCAGATAATAATGCAGGTCAGTTAATAATATTAGAAACACATTCATAATATAATGAGGGAGTTATTGGGAAACTGGGAAAATTTTCATACATGAAAACAATATTTCAACTTCACTCACGGGTAGTAGGATGGAAGGTTTCATGATACAGAGTTAACAGATATGCTTCTAGCATAATGGAGCTGCTGAATGTAATAGACCAGCCAGTGTGCGCTGTATTAGGAATGCTACTCGATGAGGCATATTCTGAACAACCAAACTTTTGCACGGTTGCATCAAAAATGATATAATTCAGCTTTTATTGACAGATATTACATGAATCAAATATGGACGGCATGGATCTTTAAAATCAGAGATGGTGCTTGGTCAAGCAGAAAACAAGCATTGAACAACTACTACTGGCTTTAGCCTGCAGGATTCTGGACTCAAACCAATTGTACCCATACTATAAGTAGAGTACACAGCTATAGAAATTTGATGATTATACATACGTGACAGGTGAGAGCAGGTCCAGACACTCGGGCAATTTACCAGGACTATTTGGGTATTGTCTGGAATCTGCAACTGTACAACACGAGACCTCTTTGGAAACCTAAAAGCGTGGTGTCAAGAGCTTAATACAAACTTTTGTTGATGCTGTATACTGAAATTTGAGCAGTTTAAAATGATATTTAGACATTTTACACATAATTGTATACTGATGAACACACTGTAGCTTGTATACTGATGACATAAACATTATGCACTAATAATTAAACATTACCATAGTGTATTTTATGTGTACCTAGTAAACCTAAGTATATGGGATAGGTATATGGGTTCTAAGTATACCTACGACACTGGGTATATACTGTTACAATAATGTTTGTTTTACACATGCGTACATTGCTGTATGAACATAAATATTTTATATTAATAGCAGAGGCATAGCTAGGGTTTCCAGCACCTGCAGACAACTGAAGATTTTGCGCCCCTTTCTGTGTGTCAAGAACTGAAAACATTTCATTCTGCAATTTCATCACATCAGTTTGGTGCCCGTTGTATGCTGCGCCTGGGAACAGATGTTTCTCCTTGCCCCACCCTAGCTATGCCACTGACTAATAGTCTAACAATTTACGCTGATTTTATTCTAAATTACAGGCCAGTCTTACAATGATACATACACATAAGTTTACCTGGGGAATTTTACACATATAGCTGCTATGGATACATTAGTCATTTTCAGAGTGTTCATATACAAGGTTCCATCATACGCACACTAACATGCTCCCCAAAAGCACTAGTACCATACAATGAGACACCCAGGACTTTAGTTACTTCAGAGTGTTCATGTACAGGGTTCTATCATATGCACACTAATATGCCATACAAGAGCACTAGTACTATATAACAAGATACCCAGGAGTAAGACAGTTAGTACTGAAGATTGTGAAGGAATCAGTAGTACACTAGGTAACATGACAAAGGTTCTGTCCCAAAGCCTGCAATTTTTCCATTATAAGTTTTCTGAGTAGAACAGGCTGCTTAATAAAGAAACGCATGAATGGTGCATCATCAGCTGGCAGCCGCATGTTTCATGTCTCTGTGAGTGAGGATGCTGTTATGTAATGGTCTAGAATACCAGCCTCACCGTACACACAGGGGTTAGATGAGATTAATCCCCTTTTACAGAAATCTCTGTGCAGAGGCGGCAGCCCATTATAAATCTTGTTACAAAGGTCAAGATAAGATGATCCATGGACACTTTGTAGTAAAATACATGGGTCTTCTACCTAGAGGAGCTGCCTCCCATTCCTCTTGCCAGTGTTTTTCCAGATCTCTCTCTTGATATGAAGTCTAGGTAGCAGAATGGACACAGGCTGAGCGTTGATTTTTCTTGCTGCTGTTTTTGCGAGGTTATCAGCTTCTTCATTCCCAAGGTATCGAGCATGTGCCTTTATCCAGGAGATATAAATAGTCTCCCTAGCTTCTTTCTTATTCACAGAAGAAGCATACTTCACCATGAAAGATTGCTACAATGCACATAATTTGTATGAATGAAGGATGGAGAATCTCCATCTTATGAGAACAGAGCACAATAATATGCTGTGTTTGATCTAGTAATGTGGGAGACCTCTTAATATGAACAGCCCATATCTCTAGGCTGTTCATTTGGATGAATGATGTTATAAGATTTTCCTGAATCATAGAATGACAAATAGATACAATAGTTGTTGTGCCATTATATGCAACTTCAGCATGATAGGGTCCTAACCCACTTCAGTCGTGACATTCAGGAGCACTTAAATACAACATCAGGACAAGAGTGGTTCAAACTTGGTGGTCCCTTTCAATGGACTATCTGATCTATCCACTCTGACCTTTCTTTTTGTGGTCATATGAAAGGTCTGGTGAAAGATATCTAGCAGACAGTGAGAAGATCACGCATCTGCATACGTGCTGCAGTCATCTGAGAGATGCCTAAAATATTTCAAAATGTCCATTATTCTAGGCGGCAGTAGTTTTTGTCATGAGTCGCAGAAAGAAAGTTTGAACATCTTCTCTGTCTCTTCTTAATAGCAGAATTGTTACATTTTGAAAAACTAAATAATGATTTTAAGTGTTTCTCTTTCATTTCTCATACTGCAGGTCTCACTTGCACATGATGTCAATTCTGCATTGCTATCTGAACCAAAATTCATCTTTGAGTAGTCTATTTCTCTCAGAAGTTTGTACAGGTGGCAGAAAACCCTGTGTATGTAAATCTGCTTGGTTTTAAATTTCAAATTAGCATACTTCTCAGTCATTTATCTATTACATTTTTTTTAAATTAAAAACTTTTTAAATAATAATTTTAAAAACTTCATGCGTAGTAAATTTACAAAACTTAACAATACCTCTTTGACTATTTCAGCCAATCTGTTACTTTGTTCGCACACATCAGCAGAGAAACTCAAAATGTTCTTTATAATGAAGAAAAGAAATGTCAACAATTAATACAGCACTTAATACAATTACTATACAATGCAAGATTCCATTTTATTTAATTAAATGATTTATGAGTTAGCTATATTTAATCATGCAAGTAGAATATTTAGGTGCCAATGGTAACACCAGATTCTGCGTAACACGTATATACAATTTGATGTTAAATTACCATCAACACTTAAATAATTTGTTACATTATAACTCGATTAACCTTTTGAAGACCAAAACGGCCAAGATGGCCTTACATTCAGACGATCACAACCGCCCGAAATGGCCGAAATTGCGATGTTGTGTTTTCCCCTTTTCCCAAAGGGCCATTCACACTGGGTTTTATCTGAGCTAACAAAGTCAGTTCCATGTGTCGACTAGCTCCGCTATGCCTGCAGTTCAAATTTTCAACTTGCTGCCCTATGGGAAAAAACTGGTTTTGGAGATGGGTCAGCTGTGTCTGTTAGCTCAAATAAACTCCAGTGTAAACGGCCCTTAAGGCATGCAGTAGCAGGTAAAGTTTCCCCAAATGCATTGTATTAGTTTATTGCAGACAGCTTGTCCTAAAAGGTTTTATTTATGGTTTGTTATCTTTGTTAGGAAGTAGAAAGGATGACATTTGAAATGTTCATGCCTCTTTATGCGTTAATGGATGGGGAGGGAAGGAAACTGCTGTGAATCTCAAAAGACAATTTGAGCACTTCGGTATTTCAAGCATACAGGTTAGTGAAGGCTTCAGTTTTCAAAGAGTTAATGGTAACATGTTAACTTTATTATCTTGATCCTTTGATAAATTAATCATTCCAATTTGATTTTTCTAAAAGATTTTGTTTGATAAAATATATAGCACTATGGTGGAATAGTTTGACTTGACAAAACAAACACCTACTTAAATCTATAAAAATTAAGCTATTCCTACAGAAATAACTTTATTCTACATTGTCTAAGAGCCTGGCACAATATTATATCTCTGAGTTTTGACTGAAGTAGTTTTTCATGGGTTTGATGCATATAATAAGAATTATTACTAATTTTTCAGTATATTTTATTGGAATTATTGTAGATATTAAGCTTAAATTAAGCTCCACTTCTCTCTTTCAGAGTTAGCTAAATGATGCTGTCGGATTTTAATCATGAATTTTGCATAAAATAGAGTAAAATGTGTGAAAGTTTTTGCTTCTGAATAAAAGGAATCTAGTCTGATCACCTTCAAAAGTTGATAGAATGTCATTTAAATCTATGCTAATCTAAAGTTAATTTTTTACTTAAATTTTAAATTCTATTTAGGCCATGCAGGTAGGAAATAAGAGGAGATGCCTGAACTGGTTTCTCCATGACTGAATGAGAAAAAAATTCATTCATAGGAATGGGAAAAAATTAATTTCTTCCATGAACTGGTTTCTACACTACCTTGAAGCAGTGGCACATCCCTCTTGGAGACCAAAACATTCAGTGATTTACCATTAAGATCAAAAGGTTTTGATATAATCGTAGGTAAACATTTTGTAATTATGCCATAAATATACATATAAATGTATATATTTTCTTGTTTGATAATACTTCAGAGTCTTAAATATGTGCATTTTATTCTGAACGTAATTAAATGCTATACTTTTCCCAGCACAGTTTTAATTTGAATGAAATATTTTCACAAGTTTTCCCTAATTACAATAGAAAGAAATTTTAAGATAATTTGATTTTATTCAATTAACAATTAGAAAATATAAAATCAAAGTTTACTGTATTATTAATATTAAAGTTATGCATTATTTCTTTTTTATTTATAGAGCTTCTTTCTGAAATACTTGCTCAAATATGAGATGATTTTTAGCTTCAGAGGCATCTTCTAAATAAAAAATCAGAGTCACTTTATAATTAATGCTCAGTTCAGTTTATTTCAAATTAGAGCACCTTTTATTTTAATAGTGAAATATATTAAATATTGCTGCTGATTTCCATGCACTTAACTTTCTATGAGTATTTCTGAAAGAGATTAAAAAAAAGGTGCTTTTTTTAAAAATATTATTTAAAACTTGTAACTGAGTTATTATAAAATGTAAGGAAATAATTCTTTTAATAATTCTTTTTTTTTTTTTTTTTTTTTTGTTACTCTTAATTTCAACAATATATATTCTACTTTTCTACTTCCGTAAGTATGTATCTCATAGACTGTGCTAGCTTCTTTCAACAGATTGTTTTCCAGTACAAAAACAATTCTTGCTTAAATAGTTTTATAAATACATTTGTCAACAGAATTTCAATTTATGTCCACAATTAAATGTTAAGGTTATATATTTAGATAATATTTATAATCATTATAAATTTAGACATATTTAATAAGTAGATTTCTTCTTAGTAACATTCACAGGCATTTATGAATTAATAGCTCCTTCATTTCCAAATACATTTATATGCAATTTAATAAATATTTACATATGTGGGACTGTCATGGGTGGAAGTAGTACCTAACAACTGTCATTATATTTTGGATGTAAACAAAACACACCTGTTTTGGAGACCAGTGGTCCGCAGCACTTCATCATGTGTAGTGTGGGGATGGCATCTCCTTTTATTCTTACCTCCATGATTTAGGCAAGTTTTTCTTTCACTTAAGGTCTAACATACTCAATCACAATCTATTGTTAGGAAGGAATACAATAATTCTCTTACAACTATCTCCAAGTTGATGCAAAATAAAAAGATTTCAAGACATATGAATGATTAAAAAATAGTCTAAAAATAATTGAAAAAATCATATTTTAGTGACACAAATCAACGAATCTGCTTGTGAATGTGCAAATATTTTATCATGTGAAATCATTTAAGAAAACAGAATTTGTTCAGAAATTTAGTATAAATTTTAACAAGAGCTATAGTTAGATCATTTCAAACATCATTATAATATTGGTTTTTATGCAGGTGCAGTGAAATGACATCACTAAAAAGTTTAATAGTATGATAAAATGTTGTATCAAATATGCAGATTACATTTTATTCTTTAGAAATTTAAGTTAAAAATTAGAAGTTATTTCTACTTTTAAATTTCCCATCTAAATTTTATAACTTAACATACATCACTTTCTTCATAAGTGTTAATTTCCTTTTACTATGTAAAAAACCTATAAAATTATCCTTCAGCAAGTGAAGAAACTTTCTAATTCAAGTTCTGAAAACAAACATAAACATTTTCCTTACAAAGAAAAGATAATTTGTAACTTATAATACTTATATATAACTATAAATTTGATTTAAAAAAGGATTTTTTTTTTAAATCTCTGTATCACCTAGATATTCAGCAACAAAGCTATCAGGTTTTATTCAATCATAGAATGGAATCCTGGAAATTAGAAAATATGTTTCACAAAAGTTACTTTTAAAAATTTTATAAAAATTACTCGAGTTTGATGAGTTACTCTAGTTGATTTTATAAAAATTACTCCAGTTTGATATAAATGAAATTAAAAAAAATATGATCATTATATGGCAATTTGTATGTGACATTATAATGCGATATCACACATAGTTAATAAAACAGTAAACAGAAGTCTACAAGTTGCTAATATTACTAAATCACAAGTTTTCAATTATTTTAATGTAACTTGATAAAACTGGCATTGAGAATATTATCATCAAAAGGTGATACAGTAAAAAGTCGTTAATTCGGACCTCAAAGCTATACGACTGCGCATATGCGTGTGCACAAGTGCAGAATACGTTTTCGCATGCGCGTTTTATGTATAACGGACGGTATAAAGCTAAAATTATCTAATTATCTATTTCAGTTAATGTTGATGATTGCGTTGTTCCTTAATCTTCGAATTGGATCCGGTTTATTATATTTTGCAGACCGTAAGAGCAATTTTATAAAAGTAAACTTGAACTTTCGATTATGTCAAATAGAATTTCCGATGCTGGAGCTCCCAAAGGATCTACAAAACGAAAGTATGTTTCGATGTCCATCAAACAAAAAGTGGAATTGCTGCAAAAAATGGATAAAGACATGAAGAAGGTGACAGAGAGGTTAGTGAAAACGAAAAAATTTCGATTGACAAGTTAGTCGGCATTCTCGGCACAGCAATTATGGGACTTGAACAGCAGAACTTTGTAACTGAACAAGAAATTATGTCTGTTTATAGAATTAAAGAGAAAGTATTATCACATAAAACGAAGCAACTTACATTGAAAGAAATGTTTAATAAAGTAAACAAATAAATATTAAGCTTTTTTTTGGTAACTTTTGATACCCTTTAGATCATAATTGTTCTTTACTTCATAAATTACGGTTTCATATTTTTAATTTTAGAATTTCTGCATGCTATCTTACGAGATTTAAACTCATGATCTATAATCCGGAAAAATCGATAATCTGGAATCGCCGAAGTCCCGACGAGTCCGGATTAACGACTTTTGACTGTATAATAATATTAAAGCTCGAAAAGAATTTTAATATTACTGAAAGTATATTCTACACAATTCTAATGTTGGCAAAGATGTTAAAGTGTGTGTTAAAAAATGCTAAGGATCCTATTTGATGGCACTATATAAAAAAGAAATTGTTAGCAAATGATTCGATATTAATAAGACAAATTCAACAAGTATATATGCATAATTTGAAAAGTAAATATAAACTAATAGAAATTTTATATAATAAATAAGCAAAAACATACTTGATTAGACTTTATTATTTCACTGCATAACATTCTTTTAGCTTCTTCTAATCGTACCTATAAATTTAAAAAAAAAAAAAAAAACCCACTCAAGTGATTTTTAGAATTTGGTTATAGAATGAAATTTTTTACATAGCCAAGTGGCACATCAGCCACTGGGCATAAGCACAACTACTATAAATTGAGAAATTATAACAAAGAAACAATGATATTTTCTAATTATCTGCCTTCCCCTCCCCTTTCCTTATCTTTTTCAAGAAATCCTTATACAATACTTTTTGTGCTATTGTTCTTCCTATATACACAATGTTGAGAATCGAGCATTTAATTAATATTATGTGCAGTTTCAGTGGCATCATTGTTTTATTATGTTTTATGCATCTGGCATCACTATTATTTTTGTCATTCTAAAAATTGTCATGTAAACAATAAGACGTACATAAGTTCTCTTTACATTTTTTGTTAATAAAGTCCAAAATTCAATTAGCCATCACTCTGTTTGTTAATTTTATAACAGGTTAAGGGTTTTAGCGACGTTTAACTGTGCAAATAAATTAACGATGCCTTATGTTGACGTATTTGAATCACGGATTTTTTTTTTACTTTCGTTTTCAACACTTCCACCTGAACAGTGTGTAGGTAGATGTTACAGTGTACCAATAGCCTTTTTTGCTGCATATTTCCTGGCTAATGATGACATAATATGGAAGCTAAAAATTTTTTTCAGTGTACCAAATTGGAAGGTTTATCCAACTTGACTGATTGGAAATTTGAAAGGTACTTACGTATTATCGCAACCAAGTTGGCGCGATTTGTAAGTTTGAGTAAAAAAGTATGAATAGAAAGAAAATGTACATTTATTAATTACAGATAATTTTTAATACAGTTTTTTAAATTATTTTGTTTTAAAATATAAAATAGCAATTAAACCCTTCCGGTTTCGAATTTGAATAAGTTGCAGAATTATTTTTTCGGCGGAAATCTTTTGGCTATTGCTTTTAGCACTGATTGAAAACCGTCTTCGCCATTAACAGCTTGAGCTTGGCGCCATATAGATAAGATGAGTCAAGATGATGACGGGCTGTTCCTCTCTGTTTTTTTGTTGCGCCATTTGGCTGAGCCCCACATGCGCTCTACATGTTGTGTGTGTGATTAACCGTGTTATCCAGTTATAATTAACAGTTCCATGCAGAAATCCAGCATTTTCGAACTCACTTGTATTGTATCCTTTCCAGCAATCCGAATAAATGATGCTTCCTTCCTTGATATTTTCGCAAATTTTTTCCATGAGGGTAACGGCGCTTCTGTTAGGTACAGTAACCAAAAAAGTCTCTTTCTTTTCTCGGCAAATTCCGCCGAAAACCCATTGCTGTGGTAGTACACGCCCAGTGTTATTTTTTCTTTTTACAAAACTACGTATAACACGTAGGGTTGCCGTAAGTAGGGTCGCCAAATTTGGCGATTTATGCGAATTTTGGCCTGGTTGCGTTAATACGTAAGTACCATTTGAAATAAGCTCTTTATTTGTGCTTAACGATTGTGCGGGCATCTTCAATAATTCCCTTATAAAGCCAAACGCTCCGGCAGAAAGCGCGAAAGAAAAAACGATAAGCAAGTACAACGAAGCCGCAAAAGCGTATGCAAAGGCGAATGCGAAAGCTGCTGTGATCATTCACACAAATGTATCACCGAATATGTTAAATTTGATCTGTACGCATGGTAATTCTGCACTAGTGATATGGAATGAGTTATTAAGTAATTTTGAGAAGATGTCAAGCGTGAAATTGGACACTTTTCTGCAACAGTTTTCAACTTTTCGGATCGAGAAAGACAAAAGTGTAATGCAATCACTTGCATGTTTACGTATACTGTGGGTGAATCTTCAATGTGAGCAAGAATTGAGCGGTGAAGGAAAGCTGCCGCAGAACTTGCTAGCGCGAATCTTATCTATTCTTCCTGATGAAGAATATATAAAGTTCAAATCACAGTGGGACTCAATGCCAAAGATGGAAAAGTCACCTGAAAAACTGATCGAACAGATCAACTTGCGGCTGCAAAGAAGAAATCAAGAGCTTAGAAACGAAAGTACGATAACATTTGTGGCAAATGCTAATTATAGCTCACATAGTGGAAAGAAATAGAAGAAGGGTGGTAAAAAACCTCAGATGGTCAGCCAATCCCAACCCTTCACAACTAATAATGCCTAAACAATGAACAGACTCAGTAAGACCAGTGATGGTGCAAAAGGTTTCAATGACATCTGTTTCCGTTGTAATAAACCCGGGCACAATGGTAAATTTTGCCCAGTTTTCCTTGACATGCCAACCACAACGAATGGCAAAACAGAGACCTTCTTTGCAAATACTCAATGCAGTGCATTTGCATGTGCGCAATGGTTGGAAACGTACAAAAATCTATTGAGCTGACTGATGTACTGTACGCACCAGAAATTGCCAAAAATTTGTTATCAGCCTCAAAGGCAATGAAGCGAGGAATCTTGAGCTTTGGCGATTCAGATGATATGATTTGTCGTTTATTTCGCAAGGAGACCCCAGATAATATACTTTTAGAAGCCCCATGTTCATCAAATGGACTCTTTGAACTACGTGCAAAACCAGTCAAGACACAAGGGGGTTCTGCTGCTGCAGCCTACTTGGTTGAAAAAGAAATGACGACTCCTTTTCCTGAGATGGCAATGAAGATGACAACAAAATTGCCATTATCACTTTGGCATCGATGACTTATACATCAAGGAATACAGTACGTGAAACAGTACTTGCACCAAAATGGTATAGATTTTATTGATGATGGACTATTTTGTGAGCCGTGTGCATATGGTAAACAAAGTCGACGAACATTTAAACTAAAACGATTCAAAACACAAAAGTCTGGTGAGATAATACATGCAGACTTACTCGAATCACCTGTATTATCAAGAGGTGGAAAGAAGTACATGTTAGTGATTAAGGACGATTACTTTAAGTTTCGACATGTAGAATTTCTGAGACATAAAGATGAGACTGTGGATAAAATCAAGCAGTTTCTTTGTTCGACCAACAAAGATGGTATAAATGTAAAAGAATTGGTCACAGACGGTGGTCGTGAATTTGACAATGATAAATTGGTGAAACTGAACTGATGATGCAGGCATCAAGCTGCGAATCACTATGCCATATACACCAGAACAAAACGGATTGGTTGAAAGAGAGAATCGTACAATAATGAATGCAGTTCGCACTATGATCAAGGATTCAGGCCTACCACAGTTCTCTATGGGCAGAAAGCAGCATCTACAGCTGTGTACGTTCTCAATCGAACCGGACCAAGTAAGACTACGGGAAAATCTCCGTCTTGAGGAATGGTTTGGACGCAAGTCCGGCAATCAACAGAATTTCGAGTTTTTGGATCAGCTGCATTTGTACATGTACCAAATGTCAACAGAGGTAAATTAGATGACAAGGCTATAAAGCGATATTTGGTTGGTTATTGTGATGACGATGGGTATCGCATTTTCATACCATCAAGGAATGATACAATAAAAAGGGCCAATGTGGTGTTCAATGAACAGCAAATCGGCCCTACTTCCCAACCTTCAAAACTAGCATCTAACACCAGTCTATCAAGCGGTATGAAGTTTATTTTGGAAGATGCACATGGTAATGCAGACACACAGGGGGTTGGCGATCAGTTGCTGTGCACTGATGAAGATGAACCAACACAGATGACCGCGCGTGCATAGCGAGACCGTTCAACTATCCAACGGCCTGTCAGATTTAATGACTACGACATGTATAACAGCATTCTGAAGTTGGAAGAGCCTAAAACATAGCAACGAAGTCTCCTGAATACGCCGACTGGAAACGTGCCATGGACAAAGAAATGGCTTCGCATGCCAAACATGGAATATGCGACTTGTTGAGCCACCTAACGGACGTAAAATCCTTGACAATCGCTGGGTTTACAGAGTGAAGACAAATCCCGATGGCTCAATCGAGAGATTCAAGGCTCGTTTAGTAGCAAAAGGGTACACCCAGATGGTGATTATCAACTACGAAGACACATTTATCCCGGCGTGTCGCTATGACACTATTCGAGCTCTAATTGCAGACGGCCGCCAAGGAGAATCTCAACTTATATCAAATTGACGTGGAGACGGCATTCCTTTACAGTGACCTAACTGAGGAGATCTACATGTATCAACCTGAGGGCTATAACGACAGAAGTAAGTGTGTGCACAAGGTGCTTCGACCTTTATACGGCTTGAAACAAGCTGGATGATGTTGGAATGCCAAGTTTACTGACATGCTGAAGAAACATAGCATGATACAAAGTAAACCCGAAGACTGCCTGCTCATACGAAATGATTATGGACATAAGATGCTGATGGTGATTTATGTTGATGATGGCATTGTCGCTGTTCACTACAAGTTGAATGTTTGAAAGACAGCTCGCTCTTCCTGCACCAAGAAGCATTTACAAGAAAGATATTAGAGCGATATAGAGATGCTAAGACATCACACATCCCAGTAAAGAAGTCGAGTCTCAAGGTCGACTATGGTGAACCGAACGACAATGACGCATGATCAAGGATCAAGGAGGCGAAGCCTCTCAGCAGTCAAATTCCATGCTGATCAGTAGTTGGCAGTTTTCTGTACTTCGGCGATGGGCAGCCCGACCAGACATTGCTTACGCAGCGAGTTTGATGTCTCGATAAGCTGAAAAATCCTTACAGAGATTGATTGGGAAATTGCACAGACAACATTAAGGTACCTTCACAATACCATAGGACACGGCATTGCGTACAGTAATGAAGATGATAGAAGTTTGATGTTGTTTAGTGATGCAGATAACAACAGCTGTGCAGAAACACACAGGTCTCGAACAGGTGCTATTTCTTTCTATGGTGGAGGTGCAATTATGTGGCGAAGCAAGCTACAGGAGGCCATATCCAATTCGATGACAGAGGCAGAGTTCATGGCAGCAGCTGATGCTACAAAAGACCTGATATTGTTGAAGAGCTCGTTCGATGAGATAGCTAATAATGTCTCATTGCCTATCCTACAAATTGATAATAAGAGTACTATCAAGTACATCAAAAATCCAATATTCCACACATGCACAAAGCACAATGACCAAAGGTACAAGTCTGTGCAAGATGAGTTCTCGAAGGGACATTTTCAATTAGGCTATGTCAGAAGTAATGAACAACGAGCAGACACTTTCTGACGAAGGCGCTTCCAGCACCTCAATTCCATTTCCAGAAGAAATTGATTGGTGTAAAACCAGTCAATAAGTAAAAGTTAATCTATATGAACAATGAATATTTTTCATGCTCGAAGGAGGCTGTTGAGAATCGAGCATTTAATTAATATTACATTCAGAACGTGAGCTACTTCGGTTTGATATTGTCCACATTCCAAAAACATGGTGTCCATTTGCCATCCTACTACTGTTTTGATCATTTAACTCGCTCCTCAGCACAGCAATTGCCCATAACATGCTTTGTCTCTGTGTAGCATGGAAATGATTTTCTGACATGCGCACCTGTTTGCGCATGCTGATGTCAACTGAAATGTTTTGCATATGCATACTGTTTCACCTTCAAACAATGGTTCTCCTTAAGTGATTTTGAACAATTTAATTAATATTTACTCACAGCCTTCCACACTTTATGAATTATACTTAACTTTTAGACAGCGTAATTGCCCAATTCCTCAAGGCAACTTGAAAATGACATCAAAAATCGCAAATTTTGAAATTAACCCTCGGACTGGCCAGGATTTTCGCTAAGAAAGCACAAATTCCTCAAAACTACTATGAGAAAAAAGTATTTTCTTGTTTTTAATGTAAAAATTATCCTGGTGTTTTATACCTGGATTTGTGTACTTTTAATATATTGCCTTAAATTCTTTGACATATATTTTAATATGCATGTATATATACATTCTTAAGATAAGATATCACAAAAAACATTCTCATGGTGTCTAACTGGCAAGGCCGTCCGGTCAATTTTTGCATAAAGAAGCTGAACTTCTTGTATTTATATTTTTTCATAACAAGTATGTAACTTTCCTACATATGACAGTATATTAAAAGTTAGATTTTGTTATTTGCTCAATTATTATTTTTTTTTTTTTAAATTTGACATTGTAATTTGTAAATATTTTCATCATTTAAAACACTTCTGTAATTGGAAGTATATGACTATGACCAACAATTGTGAAAGCAAAGGCCAGGTATGGACAGGTGTGTGTGTATTATATAGTATATACTTTTGACACTGCTGATTGCAATAGAAAAGGGAGTTGCAAAACTAGATTCTATAACAGTCCCATATAAAAAATTTCGGTATTTTTTGTTTTGCCGGCGCAGGTGATAAACTCGCCAATAATGGTACAACTGATGCTAAACAAATATCCTCGATGGTAATCTTTAACGATTTTCAAAACAAGTCGCAGCCATTTCTTATCAGATTGATTGTTTCTTTCCATATTGGCACACAATTACATAGAATTTTTACCAGATAGTTCAATTTTATGCCCTAAGGCCATTTCCGGTAATTAAGTCAATTAGGATGCAAGCACACAACTCACCCAAAGGCGAAAATATAGAAAAGGCAAAGTCAAGGGTTAAATTCATCAATTGTAATTGAGAATGCACTCACGAAATAAAGCACTGTAATTTTACATAATTTCTGAGTAAGCTATTCGTACGAATTGAAATAATTCTTGTATTTAAACTTGTATTCCAAATTAAGATTTAACTTGAAATTAATGTAGATAATTACTGAGAGAATTAGATTTTTGTAGCGTAGTTTACGTGAGATGGGATCACGTGAAATGAACCGGCAAATCAGATGTTGTACCATGAAAGCATAGCAAATTCTTAAATTAATGTCTTTTTACAAAATTTTAAAGGATAATAAAATGTTTATGTCTTCAAAATAAAAAATTCTTAGAACTAATATTTGCTAACATTTTTAATGTGCATACTGTATGTTATTGCCAATAAAATCTGCTTGGTGAGATTTGCGCTGGCGAAACGGAAAAGTACCAAAATTTCAACATTCTACAGCTAATTGTTTTTGAGTTAATGCAAGATACATATGCACGTATTTACAGATATATATATATATATAAAACATTTTACAATTGGTTTGGGAATAAAGAATCCTTTATTACATCTGTGCATATAAACATCATGCATAAAAAATAGTCAAAATGGATTCAGAAATGGGAAACAATGACTAATATGCATGCAGGGTTTCTCTGGGCAACTATCACAATATTGACGTCTTTTTCCTGTCTGATAAAGCATGCAATAAAAGCAGCCAGGTAAGCAAAACAAGCGTGTTGCAATAGCAGTGACATTGGATTTAAAGTTCATATTTTAAATGCTGCATTAATGGCAACAATGAAATACAAAGGGTTAAATTAAGATAGAATAAAATCTCATTATACAAAGATAGAGTATTTATTTATTTATTTTTTTAAGTTTATTTTTCCAACACACTATTTAATAATACTAATAGTTGCATAGTTTAGAATAACATCTTATAAAATACTATAAATTTCATAGTTAAAATGAAAATGGACCATAGAGAAATGCCTACTTTTGATCGGGCTATTATAGTAACATTAGCACCCAATTTCACAGCTTCTGTTGCTATGGCTAATCCAATTCCACTGGAGCCACCAGTAATCTGAAATAGCGGAATATAAAGAAAGCAAATAAATAATCAAGTCTTTTAAAACACTAAAACTAACCTAACATCTAAAACCTACATTTAGAATTTAACATGAATTTCTGAATATTAAATATTAAAATAAACATATAAAATTCATGCAATTCACATAGTCTGACTTATGTCAAAAGTTCAGTCCAGAATGAACTACTTATGTAAGTTAGCAAGTATTTCAAAATGCAAGTTTTTAGCCTCCAGATGATCAGTCTCTTGAAATGATGACATAAAGTACCATAAAAATTGATACTAGAACTTTGGCATCTATTGAATTATGATTTTCATTTATTATATTTATCCTCTCACATTTTGCAAAAAGATATTGCATGAAAGAATAAATAGAAATGGAAAATTTTCAGATTTGAAAAATGCAGATAAATGCAGGAAAGTCTGAAAAATAGCCTGTTGTGTAAAGATGCCTCATACACAGTTTTATTCACACTGTGGAAATAATGCATATTTGATGCAACAATCAATGCATACACTGTAGATTAAACGATGAACACATAAAGGTGTAATGAAAAAATGATCATAATACATATACATACATGTATGATATAATACAGCTGTATTTATAGATTAAATCAAAATATAAGTTTGATAATTGGAAATATTTACAGGTTATGAGTCAGATCCAAATTCAAATGTGCCAGTATTTTATTTTTGTATAAACATAGACATTCTTTGTCCGAAAAGTTCCAGGTCAAAGGTTGTAAAAAATAGAAAATTTCATTTACCAAGTAATGTTCCTAGCTGCTATTAAAGTAGTCCCCTTGGCTATTTATACACAGCTGCCAACGTTTCTGGAAGTCTCGGAAAGCAAGCACGGAAATCTTCAAATGTGATGCTTGCAAGCTCATTTGTCACAGCCCGTTGGATGTCTGCAATAATCTTGATAAAAAGATTTCCTTTCAGTCACCTTTTCACTGATCCAAACAGGAAAAAACCACAATAATCTTTGGCACAAATATGGGATCCCGTCTGGCTCTATCCAATAGTTTAGCAGAAATTCTCCGTCTTTCCTCTTTCTGTTCATCTGTTGGTGAGTGAGGAACGATTCTTACATTTAAGTTTCCGTTTTCCTAAATCTTCGCATAAAATCTTATGACACATATCATGATTCAAATTCAGTTTTTCTGATATTGTATGCATAGTTACACGACAGTCTTCTTGCAATAACGTTTGCATCGGTGTGTGCTGTAGCCGGGTGACCAATTCTGGGATCATCTTGCATAGAATCTCTCCCTTCATGAACCTTTTATGCCACTCGAAAACACAACTTCTTGAAAGTGCCTCGCCTGCATATACTTCTTTAATCACGTTCCACATTTTACTAGGGGTTTTCCCAAGCTTAAGGCAGAACTTAATATTCACTCTTTGCTCATAATCAGGATCCATTCTCACACCTTAACGAATGCGAAGACTACCTTAAAAGAATGCGACAACAATCCGAACAGTGCATTGCTAAGCACAGCCCTGCCACCTAGTAAATTTGCATGGAAACATGGCTTAAGTCATGTCAAGTAAAAATACATGCTAAGTAACATATAAACAACATTTGTTCCTTTTTAGTACCGCAAACTCTGAAATTAAAAAAAATTGTCACAGAACTTTTCTGACAAAGGATGTATAAGGAACTAATATTCAGTCAATAACATAAGCAAAATATAAACAATTTGATAATTCTAGACTGAAAGTTTGATAAATTGTTTGAAATGTTAAAAAAATTTTCAAATAAAATATAAGGATGAAGTACAGCAATATTCAATGAATCTACTCATATTAAAAACCATAATGAAGGAGGAAATACTGTAGCTAGGTAACTCAAAAATGATGGAAATAAAACCATAGCAACATTAATAAAGCAGTAAAAATATTTACTTTAAAATGCAAGCAAAAGAAGATGAATAATACATATTATACTAGTATGGCTCAGTCCTGCCTTTTTGTTTTGACTTATCCAATAATGTTGGATTATCATGAAGCATATATTCACAACCTTTGTGTATAAAAACAGATACAAAATTAACTGTATATTTATACATAGAAATTACTGTATTGCTACATCTATATAACAATATAGTAATTATAATACATAAGTTAGGTTATTTAATATGGCAGAGGGATATCTGCATATGATGAGGGATACTTTGTGGAGGACTTTCAGAGGGATACTAACTTGTTTTTATATTACACATTGGGAAATCATGAAAACCAACCATGCAGCCAGTCTGATCGCCTGGAATTGCTTTTGCAAAAAATTTTTATAGATGCTGACAGAGCTCTATAGAATTTTCTATAGAATTCTATAGAGTTCCGTAAGCATCTATAAAAATTTTTCGTAAGTGTGAACCCAAACCAAGTTGAACTACCAGTATTCAGTGGTGCTAACCACTTGGCCATTGGGAGGGGGGTTATGATATGTAATTATACTTGCATGCAAAATTATGAGAATTTGCAAATTATGTCAATTTCTGAAAAACTAATGGACAGATTTTAATGAAATTCAGGATGAATACCAACCATTTATAACAGAGAAAGAGACATAGAAACCATTATACCAGACATAGAAAGATTTATAACAGAGAAACCATTTATAACCATTTATAACAGAGAAAGAGATGTAACATTCAAAAGTCATTTTATGTATGCATGATTATCAGTAAACCTCATGATGCAGAGATGTCTAAATCCATGTTGTGATATCAAACTGAAAATGAATTTAATAGGGGGTATGGTCTCTTCTCACAGCCAAACAGGTTGTGCAGCATGACAGCATACTGGACAAGAGTAAGTAGTCTCTGTGGCAGTTGATCCCACTCCTGCAGCAAAGCAGTTTTCAACTCGGGGCGGTTCTCGGAGGAGAATGACAAAACGAAATAGCCTTTCCACAAGTGTCCCAGACGTGATCTATACAGTTAAGGTCAGGAGATCTAGCTGGCCTATCCATGTCTCACTTTCCAGGTAATTGTAAATAATTTCCAGCTGAGCCCTATGAGGATGAGTGTTGTCATCCATTTACAGGAACATAGGATCAACTGTACTCCTGAAAAGACAAATACAGAGCTCTACGATCGACACTTCACATCAATAAGGAAGCATTTGTCAAACATATGCCATTTCACCTCCACCACCATGATCCTTTTCCTTGATAGTATCATGTTTCAGGCTCTCTCCAGATATAGGTATGCCGAGAATCAATATCCAAGGTGAATCTTGACTCATCTGTAAAATGCATGTTGCTGCACTGAATGAACAGAATGATGAAGTCTGATCTCAGGCACATGTTGCCTACACCATGCTAAAAACTCGCTCTTGTGTGCTGCATGCAAACAGTGGGTCCCCCGGCATATAGCTTTATCTCAAGAAACCTTTGGGCAATTGTAGACCATGGGTTAAAACCAACTTGAGTTCCAATGGCAGCATACAGCTCACATGAGAGCTGTAGCAGGCTTGTGTTGGCATGCTGAAAGTGCCAAATAATGATCCTCATTCATTGTTGCAGATCTTGTCCAGGTCTTCTGGATATGGATTCAATGTCCTGGAACTATTTCAACAATTTGCAGGTGACAATGAGCATTACATTGAGTACTGTAGCCACCTGTGCTTGTGATTGCCCTGCCTCCAATCTACCAATCACTCTCCAAATCATTCTGTCATCATATCCTACATTCATGACTACTCATTTTAGCTGATACTTTATAAAATTTATCCAACTCTTGCAAGAAACATGGTGAATGTCATGAAAGAGTAAGAGCACACAAATCACTGGAAACCTCACATGCTCTTACATACCCTCCACAATCACAGCTCTGCAGACAACATATGTACGCTTAAGTATTTGACTCTGAATATTTACACAATTCTTCGGTGGCAGACGCCGAATTTAGTACTTTCGTTCAATACTTTTTGCAAAAATAGACATAATTTACAAATTCTCTCAATTTTGCACACAAGCGCACTATAATTTTACTGATATATGATGATGAACTATTACTTTCCAAGTTACCAGTATTTCAAAAATAGTGCAAATGTTTTAAGTTTATTTGCTTTTTGTGAACAAAAACTACATACTTATTAATTTTAACTCTTTCAGATGCTTATATTAACTAATAAAGGTTTTTTAATGGTAGAATTTGTTCAAGCTAATATAAAATTTAAGGTTGAAAGACTTTCCTTGTAAGTGAACTGAATTTGCAATAACCTTATCAGTTTATTTTCTGTTCTATATTAATTATTTAATAACCTTATCTGTTGTACTACTTTTGGTGATTTTATCGCCTGTGCCGGCAAAATGTAACATAAATTATACTCCTTTACAATTTTCCATCTTGAAATCATTTGTAATTATATTCCACCTTTCCATATTTTTAAAAGATTCCATTATACTGCAAAATAAACAGCTATCTTAACCACTACTGAGATTTTTTTTTAACCACTTAAACGGTACTAAAATTGGTTACAAAGTTCTACCCCAAAATTTTAAAAGATAGGATAATATTTAAGTACACATTTTTACAATGGATAATATACATTATCAATTTGGAATTTATATATTAGATAATATTTAATATTTAAAATAATACTAATGCAAAAATTAAATAATGATATAAAATAATAATAAATTAATAAAATTTCATATTAAATAACTATTTTTATGAAAAAATTAGAAGAAATTATTCCCTAACATTGATGGCTGGAGCTTTTTACATTCAATTTTTTAATTATTTTTTGTACTTCAATGAATTTCAAAGCTTTTTTAAAAATTTTTTGGTGAAGTGCAGAATTGCCCAATTATTTGGCACTTTTTACAAGAGTAAGAATTGGATTTTTGTCAATTTCCTTTGACTTTTTAAGTGAAAATAGATTGATGGGTACATGGACAAAGTCAAGGGAGTGCACAATGCTGAGTTTGTGCAATTCTCCGATGTTTTAATTGAAAATAGGTCGATGTGTACATCAATACTGAGTTTGTGCAAGTCTAAAAAATGTGCCAAGCAGTGGGTGATTCTGCACTTTCCCCAAAATATTTTAATACCATTACTAGATCTGCCTTTAAAAAATTGTGATAAGTGAAAATTTCATTTACAGTTCAAAACAGCGCAAAAAGTTAATTAAATAGAAAGGTTACCAGTGTAAGACTAATATACTGCAAAATTATATATCATTACAGACACAAAACAGTTGACATTATGCCATTAGTATTACGAGCAAAATTTCTAATATTAAAAAAATAAATAAAAATTTAAATAGAAAATAAATTCACAAAAGTTTGTTATTTTAAAATATTTTTTCTTGAAATTTTAAAATATTTACTGATACTTTTATGGAATATCAAAATTCTAAAATTTTTCCAGCTGTAAAACATGAAATTACATTTGCTTGTTACCAAACTCCATTGTGATTTTTATAGCATTAATTGAATTATATGTTTAATAAACAACTACAGTACTAAAGAATCCAGAGAAATGATGACAAAAAAAAAAAAAAAAAAAAAAAAAAAAAAAAAAAAAAAAAAAAAACTATTTAGAATGGAATGATATCTATATTAATTTATTATTAATTGTGGAGGATAAATAATTATCTCAATAATATTGAGACAAAAATTTTCTACATATTACTAAATAATATTCAGTAAATATTATTTATTTATTTAATAATATTTACTAAATATATGTATAAAAGAGTTTTTAGTTACTAAATAATATTTAGCAAATAATGTATAAAAGTTTTGATAAATTTCCACACTTAGAAATAAATTTATCTAAATGTTGGTTAGTAATGAACTCAACCAAAAAGTTTTTGGTTATCTACCATGGTTACATGGACCTATTTTATAATATCTAGTTGCTGAGGCTCATACATTTTTTATTTACATTAATATATACCAACCCCCCTCAAATTTCTTCATAAAATATTAATCATAAAAATTAAGAATCACAAACTAGAAAATTTTCTACTTATAATACTTTCCTGGTATCAGGGCAAGATTCAGAAATATATATATTTATAGTATAAGTATTTACATGTGTATGTAAACACACACATTTCTCAATCCAGTCCCAATAACAGAAAAATCATCTATACATTCAGCTATCAAGTTTTAGCATTATTTAGAATATGACATAATACTGTATAGAACCAAGCAGTCAAATTAAGTTATATGCATAACATTAAAAATATTACATTGGCCAGATTATAAAATGATTCACCATCTTTAATACTCTCTTAAAATTGTCACCCCCGTTTTAAATTTAGAAATTAACATTTAAAAATTAAAACTATAACTTTTTTCATAAATTCATATAAAATGTATGTATTTATATCTTCAAACTATTGTAGTTAAACCAATTAACTATTTGGTAATACCTTTAAAATGCCAAACTTATGTATGCAAACCTAGCTTATATGCAAGTCCTTTATTTTCTTAAGGCCCACCAGCGGCCGAGCGGTAAAAGTCGCTGAACACTGGTAGTTCGGTCCGAGGTTCGAATCCCACGAACGGGCTGGCTGCATGGGCGTTTTTGTGGTTTTCCCTTAGAAAGTCCTCCACGAAGGCATCCCTCCCATTAGGCAGATAGCTCTCGAGGCTTTGCCATAATCACACACACACACACCTTTATTTTCTTAATAAACAGTTAAAACATTCTGGATCATCTTATATGTGAGGCTATTGCATATTTGAATATATGTAATACACATCTCATACTCGAATCTCTAAGATATACATTTTTGGATTACTAAGCAAAACTATAATGGACTACTAAGATGGTATAAAATAATATTGCATGTTACACAGATATATTAAATCCATATGTAAACCATTTAAGAACATTACAAAGGTTTTAGGAAAACATTACCATTTGACTGATATGCTATCAACGATGACATAATGTAGAGAATTTAGTACGGCTAATATTAATTTGAATATCTGTAATTTTTTTTATTCTGACATATTCTGTAAATTATCTGCCCAAGTTACAGAATCATATATGAAAGAAATACAGTTTCTCTAATCATGCCCAAAACAATCAAGTTTTTTTTAAAGGGAATAAAATAGATGAAATTTATTACCAAAAAGTGATCATGATTTAAGTTAATAGGACGTTTTCTGGAAAAAAATACACATGATACAGCACAAATTAAAATAAGGATGATATAAAGAATCATTTTATAGAATGCAGTGAGTGATGCTCATAAAATAATCTGTAATTTGTCCAGGCTAAAAATAATCAACCATAAGTAGAAAATTGGTATTCTTTTATTATTTACAGCTGCAATTTATATGTCACGTGCCGGTACTTTTCAAGGGGAATTTCCAACGGTTATAATAGTTATTTTAAACGGTTAATTTTGTTGCATCGTCTGCTAGACCACTATTAGTTGAATGAGACATATAGTCCTTTATTTAAATTCTATTGAAGAATATAATAAATTTAGAAATTTTTGAGAAACCTTAAAATATGCTTAATACTTAAAAAATATAGTTAAACTTTAGGTACTAGATGCATTTAATTTTTAATCAAGAATACTATGTACTTCTCAACCCGCTGTGTTTACTGTTACTCGGTTTCTCCGGTGTTTACGATGCTTACGATACATTTAAGTTTTGTAAATAATGTATATTTCTATGTATTTCATTTTGCCGGGAGGCTGATATGTCATTCTACACGGATCTTTAAATTATCATAAGAATTTTTCTCACATGAATTAATAATTATCATATTTTCCAACAGTATGGCTATGTCTTTTCATCAAAAAACTGGGACTATGGTGACTTTAACTAACTTCAATAAAACTGCTAGTCGTAATAATGCACATCAAGAATTTAATAATGGATTGGTTATGAGCAGTCAGCCTTTAGTAGATGATCAGTTATTTGAAGTGCGAATTGATAAAAAAGTAAGGTGGAATTCAGTATGTGTTAAAATATATTTCTTTGACGCCTTTTTTATTGCAGATATTCAAGCAGCTATATATTTTATATAGACCCTAAATGTTTATGGCTAATAATCCATTTGCATTCTTTAGTATGCTTATATCATATAAAGTGCATTTCTTATTTAATGGCGTGAAATTTTTAAACTAAATTTCATAGTAATATTTTTAAGCATTTCAAGGGCATTTTTGGCATTTTTCATTAGGACATTTTTAAGATTACGGTGATCGGTTTATTTCGTTTTTGGCGCTTACTTTTGATATAAATTATGTGAAGATATATTTATCCATAGCAGTTGACATAAGTAGGCTTTCTATGGGGGGAATTTTTGTGATTAATATAAATACAGCGATAAACATCATTTAGGAAAAATAGTTAATATTTTTATATCAATGAAAGAGTAACCTTTGGTTTGGTATGTGTTGGAGAGTTTAATAAAAAATGTTACCTCTTACCCACTAAATGAAATTTACAAATCAGTTACAATACTTAATTAAAAAAAAAAAAAAAAAAAGTAATAGTAAAGTGAATTGATAAAAAAGTGTGTATGCAATGTTGTCAGTGAACTGATAAAAAAGTAAGTATATGCTGTGAGATGTAGTCTATCTATCTATATATATATGGAAGAGTCTGTGTATATGTCTTGTCTTCGTGCTGCATGTAAGTTAATAGACACAGGGCTACGAAATTTGGTACATAGGTGCATGTAGACGATGCATCTTGAAGTGATTTTTTTCAAAATCAAATGAGTTTTTTTTAAATTTTAATGATTTTTTGATGAAATCGCATCAAATCAATAATTCTCTCTCATTATATCAGCAGTGTTGCCATTCGGAAAAACGAGGGCAATAATTCTTTAATTTTAATGTTTCTCTTGGATACTGGACGTTAGTCAAGAGAAGGTAATGGGAAGTTGGTTAATTTATTTATTAGGATAATTAATATTTGTATTAAGAGGTATTGCTTATTTCATTAAAATTTTTTATATGTAATACATTTTTATTAATTTTTTTTTTGTCTTAAGTTATTTTGCAGAGTAAAATTCTGGGCAGTTTTTTAATTTAATGTTTGGTGTTTCCTTTAGACATTTTTACGGTACATTTAAATGCCAGGTGAAGGCCAGCCACATGGTGGCTATCACAAAATAAATGCAGCATCCAATTACTGTAGGAATTAAATGCATTTTTATGCCCAAAGGCTATCAATTTCATTTTGGCATTTTTCATCGAATCACTATAAATGGTGTATCACTTTTCAAATTGCTTTCACTAAATATTATTGCCCTGTATTATATTTAAAGAAATTAAATAATGAAGAATCTTCATAAATGTATGTATGTTTCTCGAATTGTGATAAAACAACGGTACCTAGAGCCATCAAATTTTGAATAACGTAATCCTCCACCCAAATATGGCATCTGGAAGTCCAAATTTGGAATATTTTTGTATTATCTATTTCATATTTTGTAAAACTTTAACAAATTTTTCATTAATAAATCCAGTGACTTATAAATGAGCATTGGCAGCACTGTACCAAAAAAAAAAAAAAAAAAATCTCCAGTGCGTGAGTCCATCTATCGGAAATTCCAAAAATATGCTTTTTTAAAATTATTTTGTAATATTGCTCTTGAATTGAATTTTATGGTTTAAGTGCAAAGAACATGATATTTAATAAATAATAGTAACACACACAACACGATGAAAAAAAGCCCTTCTGGGCATAATATAAAATCTGAACACTTTCATATTTTCTTTTTCTTTTTTTCTTTTCCTGCAGAATAGTGTGCATTATTCCTGTAGTGCACATTATGGGATAAATTTCAATATGGTTATTTTTTATGTACATCTCTTATATGGTAAGGGTGATATCATAGATTTTTGTTTATTTGTGTTTTGACCTAACTGCACCAGTAGTCAAAGCCATCTAAATGTTTGTTTTACTCACATAGTTTTGTGCAGTTTTATTTTTTTATTTGTCATTTTAGGAGATACAAATCTATCCACTCAAAATTTATTATTTTTGCATTTCATTAAAAATAGATATTTGTTGTATTAAAGTGCTTCTGTCAAGGAAACATGACCATGAATAAATTATGGATGTTCCAATAATTATGCTCAAATATAATGTAAAATTAAAATTTCAGAAGTTTGATTTAAGGCAAAAGAATGAAAGTGCATGATAGGTATCCTGTTTTTGAATGAGATCCATTGATTTTACAGTTTATTACTCTGTTTTTATACTTCACATATGGAGTAATGTTGATAATTTTCCCAAATACATCTGTTTGCTTGGACATTTATTTGCATATGTAATTTATTCAAGCTTTAACTATTTTGTTGCTAGTTATATAGTCTTTTGAAAAACCAGTATGAAATTTAATTCCTGAGAAATATATTTAAGTGTCCACAAAGTCTGAGTAATCTAAAATATTATCAACAGAAAAAAAAAAATTAATCTGGGGATTGATTATCAGTAAATATGCATTTTCAATTTATATTTTATGGAATTTATTTTGGCAGTTTCAACAGTAACTAGGTTAAAGTATTAAAAGTAGATGCCATTTCATAATGCTGCTGAAATTATCACATGCATGTAGATATTCCAAAAGTGTAAAAGGTTAGGTTTTTGAATATGACAAGCACACAAGGACTGCCTGCCTAAGGGAGGGAGGCATTTATGGAGGACTTTCTAAGAGAAACTAGTTCATATTCACATTGCACATGGAAAAGCCAACCATGCAGCCAGCTCTTATATACTTATTCACTATGTGATGGCAAGTTTATAAATATTATTTAATTTTGGAATATCTGCATGTATATGATATGTATTAAAAAAAAAACAATATGATCCATGAATGACATTGTATTTTGTAGTCAGTATGAAACTCAGGTATTTGTCTAAAAATTTGAATAAATTTTTTAATACCATCTTGAAAATCGTAGTTTTCTGGATATTATGTTACTGTGTCACTGCAGTTTCGACGTCCTCATCTGTCTGAAATCTGTGTAGCAGCTAAAATATTCATTAAAAGCTGGGAAAAGAGATGAAAGTCACTTGACACCATATCAAAATTTTGTCCAAAGTCTTCTTCCAAGAAAGTATTAAAAAAAAATTCCTCAACTGATATCAACAATATCAGCCTTGTTAGAATAACAGCTTTTTCAGACAATCCTAGACAGTGAGGTCTGATAGTATTTAGTAATATGTGCTTAGCTTAGATACATTAGTTGTTCATCTTTTCAGCAGGGTATCTTTCTGATCACAAATCATATTAGTTACCATTATCTTGGGCTGCATATGAAATGACTGTAACTTTTTTTAATGAATGTTTTTCATCCACCAAATAATCTTCATTAAGCAATAATTTATTTTACTTGCTTGCACTTGCAATGAAAGAACATTCAGATGGCCACAGATTTCAGAGTCATCTGTGCCCATCTGAAGCATGGTATCAAAACAGTTCTGATACTTCTGAATATCCAAGAGATCAATATCTATTTTCTCAACATCCACTTTTTGAGATGGGAAGTAAAAACGTTGCTGCATGGTTAGATAATGTTTGAGTTGTAATGAAAATTCTATTAGAAAGCAAGGATCTATCGTAACACCTTGTGCAATATGTTGTGTCCAAATAAATTTTGTTTTTGAAGTGATAGCCTACATATCTTATTTTTGGGATGTCTTTGTAGATAGATTATTCATTTAGTGTCTTGCCTGCATATCTGAAGGGAAGCAAATGAAAATATATGTAAATATCTGGTTGTAACAAAAGTTTTCTGCTAAAAATTTTTCTTAATAAGGTTAGGGGGGGGGAAATGGTGAAAGCAGTTCCTTTAGTGCAGGTAGTAATCACCACCCAGATCTATGATTTCTGCCAACATTTTGTAGCTTTTCAAAGCCTTTGGCCCAGAAACTTGGTGACTGCGAATTCAAAAAGAGATCAACCTCATTTTGGATATCCTGTGCAGGATGGAAGATAGCACGAACAAGATGTAGCTGCAAGTATGAAAAAAGGTAGAAATCCGAAGGAGCTATGTGGTGAGTGCAGCAAAAGGTATCATTCCAATCCATACAGAGTTGAGCTGGTGAAGGCAGACAGACACATGTGGTCTTGCATTATCTTGATGAAACGTTACCTTTTTGCACTGGAATTCAGTTAGATGTTTTTCCTTGATAGCAGCATCAACATGGAATTGCATCTTGCTGTACACCTTACTGTGGAAGTTTTTATCTTTTCCCAGATACTCTTTGTGAATTATACTATGGCAATCCCACCAGATACAATGCATGATCTTTTTGTTAGCCAAATTGCACTTTGCTGATGGGCTCACCGGTGCAGATCAGCCCCCTTTTCGACCTGTGTTGTTGAAGCTAACCCACTTTTCATCACAAGTGATGATCTGGTTCAGAATATTGCCCTTGTGTTGATATTTGCACAGATTAGTGCAGACTTGAATATGTCTGTCCTTATCTGCTTGAGTCAGCTCATGCGGAACCCAGTGATTGAACTTGTATGTCAAGTTTATGCGATGCATAGTGCAAGTAATGGGCATGGCACTAAAATCTAACTCTTTGGTAAGCTCTTGAGTGGTTGCATACCGATCTTCTTCCACAATTTCTTGCAGGTGGGCATCATCAACATCAGTAGACCGGCCAGAACGCTCTGCTTCTTGAATGTCATAATCCTTGCTTTTGAACTTTCAGTACCAAACCTTCACAGTATCATATGATACAGAATTAGTACCTAAAGCTGTACACATGATTTGGTGACATTTTATAGCTGACTTCTTGCTACAGAACTAGAAGTAAATGATGGTTCTAGTGTGGTAGTCTGATAGTTCCATTTCAAACACCGTGTACTTAATGATAACAATATTTTTTTTACAAATTTCACAACACAGTGTTCTAAAGCAAGTCTCTTTCAAATGGTAAAAATCTTTTGACAAAGTTAACACATTAATGCAAACTGTTTATACAGACAATATTCGTGGTAGTGGGAAACTTTCATTAAAACCTGATATTTTGAGTTAAATGTGTAAACAATTTCATGTTTCTTAAGTAAATTATTTTCCCTTCAACCGTGAAAGCTGGCTATTGTAGAACCCCAAAAGTTGTTGGAAATTCTCCCTAAGTTGCACCATTCATTCTTGCAGGAGTCTAAATACACCTTTATGTTTAAAAATCATGTAATTAGAATAACATCTTTTAATTTAATAAATAATGAGTATTTGACCCAATTCATTCCAATATTTTACTGTTGTGTTGGCTGTATTCAGCTGATCATATTGTGTCCATTTGATTATATGGGTAACTGATGCCCGATTATGACAAAATAAACAGAGCAGTCTCAGTTGAGAGAGATTTTGGTACTTACATATTTTCCAATCAGTCTAAATGTTGCTAAGAGACTTAATGTCAATTAGAGATGGACGATCCGCTCTGGATCCAATTTAAAGAATGGATTCACTTTACTGAATGGATGATCAGTGCTCTAATGAAAACGGAACGGTTACACGATTTTCATTTCGTGTTAAGAGGAAAAAATGCATGAAAATATATAGCAGTTTGTTGGGACCATTGTATCTTTACATTCAGGAGCTCGCTTGACAGGATTCTGATAGCATTTCGACACATGACAGTTCCATGCAAACCGAAAAAGGGACACTTTTGCATGAAAGAAACATTCATAGTGTGATCGATAATAGCAATTTGTATAGTTTAGTGACATTTACGCAAAAATCACATCTTGGTTATTTTTCGATAACTAACAACAGCGATTTTGATTATGAATTTGTTTTATAAAATTCTAAGCTGTTGAACTACAAAAATATAGATTTTAAGAAAAATGTTATGCTTAAAGAATGAAAAATACCTTACGGTACATTTAAAATTGTGTACGTCTTTCGATACCCTTGATAGAGTATTCGCTACTTTTATTTTATTTCCCAAACGCCAAAATGTTTTAAATAAAAAACATTTTTTCACATCCATATATTTATTGTTGCATATTATTGCAAAAACCATGTATCTGCCTTTGACAAAATACATAATTATTCATTAAATTATTTATAAATGTATTTGAAATGAAGAATTTATTCACTTATAAACAACTGTGAAAGTACTGTGAAGAAATCTAATTATTAAATGTATCTAATTTATAATAATTATAAATGTTATCTAAATGTATAATAACCTTAATATTGAATTGTAAACATAAATTGAAATCCTGTTGACAAATACGTTATAAAACTATTTAAGCAAGAATTGTTCGTATTGGAAAGCAATCTGTTAAAAGGTATTGTAAAGCAAATGCTATGAGATGCGCACTTAAGAACGTAATAAAAAGTTTTGGATTATGTATTGTTGAAATGAAGGGTAAAAAAAATCTGATAAGTATAATTAAAAAGAATTATTCCCCTTACATTTTATAATAACTCAGTTACAAGTTTTAAATAATACTTTAAAAAAAAAACTTATTTTATTCCCTTTCAGAAATGTTCAGAAAAAGTCGAGTACTATTTAAAGTATTTCGCTAATTGCTAATAATTCTCTAATTTAAAATGAACCGAATAGAGCATTAATTATAAATTGACTTAAATTTTTCGATTTAAAAGATGCCTCAGAAGCCAAAAAATCATGTCATATTTAAGAAGGTATTTTAGGAAGAAGCTCTATAAATAGAAAAGAAACAATGCGTAATTTTAATATTAATAATACAATAAACTTTGATCTTAATTTTTGTACCTTAATTGAATAAAATCGAATTACCTTAATTTTTTTCTAATGTAATTAATGAAAACTTGTGAAAATATTTCATTCAAATTAAACCATTCTGAGAAAACTGTCCTGTGAAAAGTATAGCATTTAATCCCGTTCAGAATGAAATGTTGTTTAAAAATATGTTGTTTTCACATACTTAGGACTCTGAAGTGTTGTAGAAAAGGAAAATATATATATTTAGGACGTAATTACAAAATATTTACATCCGAATGCGTCAAATCCCATTGAACTCAATGGTAAATGACCCAATGTTTTGGTAACCATGTAGGGATTGCCGGTGCTACAGAGCAGGGTACGGGGAAACTTGTTTAGGGCGACTCCATCTTACTTCCTACCTCCATGTGCACAACAAGGGGGTACTCAAAATACACAGTGAGTTTAGATTCGTTTGAGATGGTTGTAAGAGGGGAAAAGAAGTGAGAGATCTTCGGATGTCCCTACCGGGTGTTCTGCTGCAGAATTCCATCTGGGACATAAGCTTACCAGTTATCAAGGCCAGGCATTACCTAATATGCCTAGATGGGTGCACAGGTTCCAGCCTTGCTTCTACTAGACCTTTGGGGAATCTGATACTTATTTAGTGCAAATAAAATCATAAGGACTGCCGTCCATGCTTGGAAAGATTAAAAGTTATTATATTTATATACCTGTACTCTATACTTAATATTGTTGAAAGTTAATTTCTAAAACAATGAATAGCGGTCATTACTTTAATGTTTATAAATTTTCGCACAGAGTTTGCAAAATTGTTTTCATTTGGCTCTTAGTGAATGTACCTGTAAATGCAGTGTTTTATGCAAAAAGATATATTTTAAGAAGAGTACTGATATGAACTTCTGAGCAAAGATCTTTCAGTTTCGAATGAAATTCCCCAAAAATTTTATGGCAGCCCCAAATAATTAATTTTATTCAGTTGAATAGCAATTAGTAAATGAATCATTATATGTTATCTGCTTTAAAGCTCTTTACTACCTATGAATTTTTAAGACTCTATTTTCATCTATATTTTTACTGATTGAAAATAACTTATTTATTTTCTTATTATTATTACTTATTTCCTCTTTAGTATGACTATACAAGTTTTTATTTTTACAAGATACTCTAATTAAAAGAATTTGCAATTTTATAAGACAAATTTAATATTTTAAAAATTTAACCTTCTTTTTTCAAACAGTGTAAATTTTTTCCTCAGTAAACAATGCACATGTAAGCTTTTCCCCCTTCTCCTCCTTAATGTGAGTATTCTAAAAGTGTAAAGGAAATGGAATTAATGATTGATTTCTAGTAATTAAAGAACCAAATAGAAACAACTGAAAAATGAGAAAATTAATTCTGTTCTTTACAATATTAAATCAAAGCATCTCCATTTAAATGGCCCTTTCTATTATATATGATCATATATTTTTAATGCGAGGAATACTCAAATACTTATTTTTAGAAAAATAAGTGTACAAAAAATAGTCATAAAAGATATGTAGGAAAATTTCAGTATATATTTTTGCTACATATTTTTTATATATATGTAGTGTCAATATCCTCTACTTTAGTGATATGCAGAATGTACAGAAAATATGAGCATTGGATTTTTTTGTGTTTTAATGTTATAATAAGACAAATTTTTACATATAATAAATTCTAACTTAGCTTTTTATAAGCATAACAATTTTTTATGGGAATTAAATGTTAATATAACTATTTTATTTAATTTTAGGTGCCAACGTGGAGTGGTTCAATAGAAATTGGTGTTACAAGTTTAGATCCTAACTACTTGGATTTTCCTTCTAGTGCTACAAACTTCAGAGAAGGATCATGGGTTATGTCAGGCACTTCAGTTTTAGAAGATGGAAAATCTCATTTGGAGGATTATGGACATGATTTGGATGAGCTTTCTGAAGGAGATACTGTTGGTGTCATGAGAACATCATCAGGAGAGTTGCATTTCTTTGTAAATGGCATTGACCAAGGAGTGTCTGCCCACAGAGTTACAGGAACTATATATGCTGTTGTTGACATGTATGGAAAATGTGCTCAAGTTTCTATTGTTGACCGTGAAGATAAAAGTAAGTCAAATTATCATTGAGGAGATTCATTAGGCCCTTTATTGAGACGAAAATTTATATTTACATAAAATATTTTTCTTTGTCTATCTCTTTCTAAATCTCTTTCTAAGTCTCGGAATGTATGTGCAGTGGCTTACATTTGTTTTCAAACACTTATATTGTTGACATTTATTTGTATAGGTCTTGTATTAAATTTTGTAACATAGGCTTCAGTGCATTTTCAACAGTTCACACATTTTCCGTCATCTTATATATAAATATATTTTTTGCCCAAGTATAGTTGAATGCTTTACACCAAGTATTTTTTCATATTTTGAATACTTTTACTATCTTTAAAATGATGAATAATTAAAATTCTAACAGTAATTATCTTAAAATTTTTTTCTAATGCTTTACTTTTTGTTTAGTTTAAGCCTTGTTTTTTTATCAAATAAGTACAGTCAAAAGTCTTTAATCCGGACTTGTCGGGACTTCGCCGATTCCGGATTATCGGTTTTTTCCAGATTATAGATCATCAGTTTAAATCTGGTAAGATGGCATGCAGAAATTATAAAATAAAAAATATGAAACCATAATTTATGAAATAAAGAGCAATTATGATCTAAAGGGTATCAAAATGTACAACAAAAAAAGCTTAATATTTATTTGTTTACTTTATTAAACATTTCTTTCAATGTACGCATTCATAAAGCATACATTACGTATAGTCGAAATTAGAAAATTGCAACCAGAAAACTATTTGATGTGTATTCGTGATATTTATAATGATGAGGAATTTGATTTAAATCATATCAAAGACAGAGTACATCGAGATGAAATACTACATTTAGTAAGGAATCATATGCAGAATAAAATAAAAACAGCTGCCCTGAAGATATGGATAGTGCGGACAGATCAACTTCCATTTCATTGCGCACGCCACGACGTCTCCCCCCCCGCAGAGCAGCGTGAAATTGATAAACAGATTATGGAATAGTTAGAGAAACAAAGGATATGCCTTTATCCATTTTTTGAAGCAATTCCACTTTTTGTTTGATGGACATCGAAACATGCTTTCGCTTTGTAGATCCTTTGGCAGCTCCAGAATCGGAAATTCTTTTTGACATAATCAAAAGTTCAAGCTTACTTTTATAAAATTGCTCTAACAATATGCAAAAAATAATAAGCTGGACCCAATTAGAAGATTAAGGAACAATGCAATTTGCAATATTAACTGAAATAGATAATTAGATAATTTTAGCTTAGCTTATTGAGATTTTTTCACTCGTAAATTCTTACCACTCGCAAAGTAACTATGTCATTTCTTTTCCTAGCTTCTACCTGGCAAACAACTCTGCACCGCTTATGCTGTCCTGTCCATAATGCTTACGTCGTACTTTTAAAATCCGTGTACATGGAAATTGTATTCTCACTATGATTAAAAAATATGTCTGCAAAAGGATGATTTTTGATATGTGCAGAAATAAAGATTGGTGATTTGTCAAAATCCAGTTTTGTTATTTTCATCTGCATGCATTAACCATCAGCCATGATGGATATCGAAAGCTGCTAAAAGTCTAAGCGCTTAAAATATTACATATATATATATATGATGACAGAAAATGTGTAGAACTGTTGAAAATACAATATCTAGACCACAATCTAGGCTAACACCAAGAAGTCAGAGATTTATCAGGTGAAAAGTCTAATAAGACTGAAAATTTGATGCTATAAAACTTGCTGCAGATTTAGAATGGTTTGTTATAAAAGTTAATCTTGAAATTATTAAAAGAATCATTAAGGCATATGCATGCAATGAGCGATCTCCAAGGAGGAAATACTTCGTTAACAAGAAAATGAGACAAAATCCATGGTGAACAAAGATGTTATATTTGCAGAGGAACAAAAATTTAATACATTTGGGTGCAATGGATGAACAACTGTGTGGTGAAAGCTGAATGAAGAATTGAATCCAAAGAAGGGGAAAAAAAAAAACCTTATTGAGTACTTCTAAACAAGGGGATGGAGGCGTAATGGTTTGAAGATGTTTCACTGTCTCTGGGATAGGATATTTAATTTTTATAGAAAATAATATAGATTAGTATAAATATATAATATTCTTTATAAAATCTTACAAGCGTTTGTAAGAAAACTTAAAATGCAAAATAAGTTCAAGTTTTAGCTGGAAAACGATTCTAAATATGCAGCCCTAAATTTTCACTTGTAATTATTTATATATCTGTTCTGAAGTTATCAAAACTTTTTCATATTCTCTAGATTTAAATCCCGTGAAACATGTATGTAATGACGTACAGGAAAAAAAAACATGATATTTCTTCAAAAGTTCTACCAAAAGTAATTCTTATGGAGAAATGGAACAAAATGTAATATTATTTCATGAAAGAATTAGTTGGATCCATGAAAAAAAAAAAAAAAAAAGTATAACAAGTTTAATTTTAGCTAACGGATATCCTACGAAATATTGATGTTCCATTGTTTTCATGTTTTTATTAAATATAGATTGTCTATTATGTGTCCAAATATGTATGCGAGTTCATTTTCATAACTGTTTGAATAAATAATTTTATTTGCCAAAAATATTTTGAATATATTTTTGAAACGAACAGGTTTTTAAAAAAGATTATAGTATATGTGAAAGAAAAATAAACTCATTTAACAAAAATTTAGTAATTAATGTTTTAAAATAAAAATAACAAGTGTTCAAAAATGAATGTGAACCGCTGTATATATAATGTGCCTGCAAAAACCCTTATCCAGCCTTTATTTTCCCAACCGTTGATTGTAGACATATACTTTATTATAAAAAAATTTTAAATGATGCAAATATTCTTGTTTTGGTATTTTTAAATTTAAAGTCATCAGTTTTGTAAAAATTACAAAATCTAACATTTTACATTGCAAAAAATGCATTCATTATGCAATTTTGATAAAAAAAATAATATCTTTATCTATTGAAAAAAAATATCAGATATCAACAGTATAAGTTAACCACAAAAACCTTTATCTCAGTTGCAAGGAAAAGATGGAAAGATATCTGAAATCTAAAAATAATGCAAGAAATGCTACAGAGATAATGCAGTAAAATTTGGATTAAATATTGCTTGGGTACTTCTCCATTATGCACTTGCCATGCACTTTGGCTTGTTTCTCATAAACGATTTCTAGTTATAAGAATAATTTATAGAAACACACAACAATAAACCAGATGGCATTACATTGAGTCTCGGTATGTGTTTGGCTTCTCTTTCACAAGCGGCAAAAAAAGTATGAAGATGCGTAACGGAAAAGTATCATTTGCCAGATATCTGACTAAAAGAATCAGAAGTTATTGCAACAATAGCAACAGAAAACTTTTTTGCATAGAATGTTTTAATAAAATCCCATGAACATAAATTGTAAACTATTTTTTTAGCAATGGTTAAGTATATGAAGACTTTTTTTTTTTTTTTTCCCTGCTGTGTTAAACTTTTAGTTTGTTATAGAAAGTTATTATTAAGGATACATAATATTATTTGCATTAAGCAAAATTTAAATTTTGCAATGATAAAAAGTCAAAAAGGAAAATTGCTCATTTATTTGCTGAGGGGGGTCGAAGGTAAATACAAATCTCTATTTTTCAAACCTCTGTTATCATGAAATAAACTACTGCATTAATATGAAGAAGAAGAAAGAAAAAAAAAAAAAAGAATGAAAGCTAACATTACTGAAGTTTCATTATTCTCTTGTTTGAGTCTGTTTTCTAGACATAACTGTGACATTATAGGTACTAAAATATCTACTATTAGCATTCTAATAGGCCTCTGAAGGCAGCTTCCTTTTTAAAGTTTTTGTTATAAAAAAAGTTACATTATATTGACTTCCTTAAGAGAGCTGATCATACTTAATTCTAATTGAAGTCAATACAATCTATAAAAATAATAATTTTATTTTCAAAGCAACCTGGATTGCATCGATGGTTCATTATCTGCTACGTCACAAACTGAACTAACTAACTTTCTCTTCTCAGAACAGAAGTGCCCTCTAACAGCGATACAAAAATAGTTTGTGGGGTTTTTTCAACATTTGTTTGAAAAATACTGATGTTTCAAAGTCTATATGACATCAATATGAGCTTTCTTTTCTTTTCTTTTCTTTTTTTTTTTTTTTTTTTTTATGCTGAACATCTTTTTTTTTTTTTTTTTTTGACTGAAATGATAGCTTATTCTTTAAATTATAACATAAATACATTACCAATGAAGTTCACATGCATCCAACATTGCTAATGCAAAATCATATTCAACAATTATTTTAAGTGGAATCAGGTCATTATGTTATGCTAGATCTTTTGCTCAGGAATATTTTGTTTCATATTTCTTCAATGTGTCAGGTATCGCCTAAAAGTAAGTACGAGAATTAATGCCATCTAAAGAAATCTACAGTTGCTAAAAAACATGATTGCTCTGTTTTTGAATCAGTTGTTTTTAATATGAGTTTCAAATGCATGTTTTACCCTCTTTTTCTTTTCAGGTACTTCCTCAGCAACTAAATTACTTTCTTTCAGTTTTTTTATTGCTTATTTTCAGAAAATGCACAAATTGATACATATTCTTGTCTGCAAGTATCTTCAGAAAGAAGATTACTTGCACTAGGCATGCATTGGTTGATCTGAAAAGTTTTTTTTTTTTTATATGATAAATAAAAATGAAATATACAAAGTTGTAAAAAATTTTCATTGAATCACACAAACACCATTTTATCTTATGAATTTTTGCAATCTCTCCAACAGCTGAAAAATTTCTTTTTAAAAAATGTCATAAAATTTATTTATAAAGAAAGTACCGAGTCTCCAAAGAAGGCTGTTAAAAATTTTTTGAAATGATGAAAATCCAAGGGAGGACAGCTTGTTGAATTGTGGAGAAGGGGCTTGAGTGACACAAAATATTTCATGTATATCCGATAAGTCTTTGTCTGATGTTCATAGAAATATGAGGCAGAGCTTTTATGATGATGGAAAAAGGCACCTTGATGATTGGTTTCTTCTATGCACTTTGCTTTAATTTCTGCTTTTAAAACTGCCTTTGGGAACATTTTTCTGAATTTATGCACACAAAGCATTACTTTTTTGGGATACAGCCTCCTTTGGCTAACCCCATGACCTTTTCCTTGTAGCTTTATTGTATATCATCCTCTTTTCATCATCAGTAATGAGCTGTTTCAAAAAAGGTGCTTCTTTATTTGTTTTCAGCGGAGATTCAATTGTCACTTGCTGTTAAAGTATGGGTTGCACATATATTTTAGTAGCTTTCATATACAATCTTCTTTAAATGATCATGTACTGGACTTTTTGCAATTTTTTTTCTATCTTACAGTTCCTAATCAGTATATCTTGAATTTTAGTGATAGCTTCTTCTAACAGATTCTTGCTTACAGGTGAGAATCATTCAGACTGAGCATCATCTTTGAGCTGAAATTTTCTTGCTTAAACTTCTGTAACCACATTCAAACTATATCATGAGAAACAGTACTTTATCCTTATATGCCACAAATTTCTGGCATTTGATTTTTCTTTAAAATTAAAGAACATAATTTGATAAAAATGAACTTTTGGTTTCTCCATTCTTAGCACAGTACTGAAACAAAAATGTCACAACAAATGTTAGTATTGTGCAAACATGATAAAAAAGACCATATTTAAGCATCTGCTTTGATTCTTATTACTAATGACAAAATAATTAAACGCAGTTTGATATGAAAAAGCACAGAACTTCCCTGATGACCCAACATTTTATTCAATAACTGTGCATAGTTTGGTTACCTCTCCCCCCAAATGGCAGACACTGTTTTGTCTTTTTTTGACATTGGCCACTTCGAAAGCCAGAAGTGGTGGTCATTTTATTCTAGAGGTACCTAATAGGCAACTACCTTTACCTCCTATGAAGCGACGGACAATTACAATCGTGCCTTCATCAGGATTTGAACCTGTGCCCTTCAGTATCGTAGTCAGCTCCCCTAAGCCCTAAGATGATGGCACAGGGAGAGTGATTAAGTATTTATCCAAAGGTTGTGAACTATAAGTATGTGTAAAAAGAGAAGAGATTTTGAATAACATTTGGTCAATCTTTGAAGATTGAGCTTTATGGGAATCAAATGAATTCATCTTTAAATACATATTTTACACCAATTTTCATTCAAATAATTCATACACAATAATTTTCTTTTAATTTCTAATACTTGTAAATTTTGCATTTATCTTATATATTTTATAAATATGAAAATCACATATCCCTAGTTTATTATATACTAAATTTTAAACTGCTAGTGTTGAACACAAAAGAAAAAATATCCATTTCAACTGTAAATAGTTGAGGCAATCTGAAAAGAAAATCTAATGTCTGTCACTGATGACAGATATGAAGTTAAACATCTTAAAATTAATACATAAAAAGCATCCTATATGGTAAATACAAGTGCTTTTAATTCAATCCAGAGGAATTAAGTTACAGATATCTTTGTATAGAAATTTTTTTTATTAATATAGACTTATTATTTTAGAGCCAGAATTCGTTTGTGTTGCTAACAGATTACGTTTTCATGAGCACTGTGGTACAATGGTGAAACTTACCAATGGAAATCGTACTGCTGAGAGGAAAAAACCAGTGGATGAGTTTAATAATGGAGTTGTAATGACTCATAGGCCTATCTTAGATGATGAGTTATTTGAAGTAAGTTCCAAATCATATATATTTTTTTTTTTTTTGTAAAGTAAAAAGGCTATTCTGATGCTGTTAAAACTTTCGAGTCATTAAACATTGAAATACAATAGAATCTTTTTTTAAAAATGAATATGTGAAGATTTATTTCTTATTCATAACTGTTTCAGATTTAGATATTTTGCATTTAATCATAGTCCTGCAACTTTTTATTCTTTATAATAATTATGTATTATTATTTTTACATACTGTCAGCTTTATAAATTTTAATATTATATTTCTTGAATATTTCATTTCTTTCATATATAATGCAACTGAAAGCATTAATTCAACATTCATAATTAATGAATTAAAATTTTAACAAAATTAATAATTACTTATAAGCTATTTCTCCCGCCTTCCTTGCGTGCTTTCATGGTGTAGTGGTCAGTATACTGAGCCGGTATTTCAGAGGTCTTTGGTTCAATTCACGGCAAAGACGGTTGCTAAGTTTTTCATCTTGCCTGCTTCCAAAAATGTCTCTACAGTGGCACCCGAACTAAAAGGGTGTTGGGTGATGTGTCTCCTCGCCCAGGATTTGGCTATTGGGTCCTCCAAAACCCTACTCGCCCTTTAAAAGAGGGAGTATGTAAGGTTATTTTTCCCACCTTTCTAGCGTGCCTTCATGGTGTAGTGGTCAGCACACTGAGCCGGCATTTCAGAGGTTCGTTGTTTGATTCCCGGCAAAGACAGTTGCTAATTTTTCATCTTGCCTGCTTCCAAGAATAACCTAATATCTCTACACGCTATTAGTAAAACAAGTAACTTAACCCTTTAAATTGCTAGAATTAAACTTGGTGAAATTTATTGAAAGAGTAGAAAGCAAAAGTACTTTCTGTTGCACTTAGTAAGCAGTGAAGTATTAAAAAAAGTGAATTTAATCATTTTTACATAAATTTCTGTATTTCCAAAGTATACTTTAACTGTATACTTTTGTATGCAGCAATTGTTTCTTGGAAAAGTCAGAAAGCTTCCCCCTTTGTAACTGGTTGTGTTTCAAAAATGGTTTTGCTTATTCTAGATGTCTCCTATTTATTGGCTGCATATGAATTCAAATTTGTATATGCTACTAATTTCTTAACTAAAAAGAATTTTTTTTTATATTCAGATAAGAATTGATGAACTTGTGAATAAATGGTCTGGATCTATAGAAATGGGTATTACAACACATAATCCCGATACACTTAATTTTCCTGCAACAATGACAAATATGAGATCAGGTAGTTATGTTTACCTTTTTCTTTAATTGATATGTTACTAAGCCTAAAGAAAATGAGGAAGAAATGTTTTAGAAATTGAATGTTTATACTATATGCTTTCAAAATTTAATATATAAAAATTTTCCATTAAGTAGGATAGAGTTAAAGTTTTAATTGAAAATTTAAAGTGCTAAATATAAGAATACATATTAGGAATAATTCCTCTAATGCTTGTTTATTGGTTTTATCAAGCATGGCAAAATAATCTTATTAAATATGTGTGTTTGAGATTTTATGTGTAGACTTCAGTATAGTTTTTTTTTTTTTTTTTTTTTTTTCCCCCTCCATAAGATATAAAATTTTGGAAAAATTATCTAGATGACTCTAATATCATATATGTATTTTTAATTATTTGTATATATTTCTCATAATTAATGAAGGGGAAAACAAGAATTTTCACACATTCATATGTATGATTGTGATAATTAAGTTTAATTAGATTTGCTGAAAAATTTGAGCAATAAATTTAATTTTATAAAATTTGTGTATGTATATTGGGTATTTTGAAAGAGTAGAGTAAAGCTTAAGGAACTGGTAAAACAAACCAAAATGTTTTGAGGATAGAATAAATGATTGAGTATGAAATTTTGAGATGTGAATATGGTCAATGAAACACAATAATGACACACAACACAGAGCATGTAAAAATAATTGGTACTTTCTGATTATCCATACACCTACTGAAAAATTGCTAATTCATTGGCAACTTTATAGAGCATCCGTGAACTTGTTGGTTTGTTGCCAACCTAATGCATGAACAGCAACAGCCATTTTCAAAATGGTGCAGCACTAAAAATTCAATACTAGAGCAACAATAAAATTAAAAAAAGCTACAGTACAAATTCTGCATATCTAATTAGAATGAATGCATTGACTGAGTAAGTTAAGCCCCGAACACTTGCATCTCTATTTTGAATTGTCAGTGAAGCAAGTTGATTGCATAAATGATTGTGGCTTTGTATGATGCAAACACAGACCAAAATCTATTTATATGAAGGAACATAACCTATTCAAAAATAAGTAAAAATTATCTTAATATTGGTGATGTAAAAAAAAAAAAAAAAAAAAAAAAAAAAAAAAAAAAAAAATATTCAAGGGAATTACATACAATGCCTTTTTTTATTAAAGGAACAAAAATGTTTTGATACAGTACTTCTGCTTCTCAATCCTCTGACTGGCACATGATTTCACTAAGAAATTTCAAATTTTGAAAAACTATCACGTGACGTGAAAGAGGTATTTTCTTGATTTTAATGTCAAAATGTCCTTGGCACTTTATATCTGGATTTATGCACTTTTAATACATTGCCTTAATTTCTTTCACATATGTCAAGATGACGTATATATATGTTCTTACAGACATCACAAATGTTCAAAGCCTTATATATATAGAGAGAGAGAGAGAGAGCCATTACCAGTCAAAGGGTTATAGAAAAAAAAAAAAAAAAAAACCTTGTGGCTGACCTTTTTTTTATGTTAATAGAGTTTTCTGTACATTTGTCACATTGTAGTAAAATTTTCATACTTTTCCATCAGCCATATTCATGAAAGCAGCCATCAAATTCGCAGCTATCATCTTCACCATGAAATATGGTAACTGGCAATAAATTACGCCAAGCATTTTTTGAAGTATCTGGAGGCACATCCTTCCATGATCTTTCAATGCTCCACACAGCAGATTTTATGCTAAAGTATTTCAAAAATTCTTGAATAGTCATGCCATTATTCAAGAAATTTAACATGGATTTTAAAAATGCTATTTTATATTTTCATTTCAGCATGCACACTGTTACAATATCCATAGGCTGAATTATGGACGTACAGTTTGGAGGAAAAAATAACATGGATACATTATCTTTTATTAAAACATTAAGTGAAATATAAGCCGAACAGTTATCTACAATGAGGACAATTTTTGCATCATTAGGTAAACCAACCGAATTCAAATTTTCCCGAGCCTCCGGTATGAAATAATTTTCAAACCAATCATACATTAATGCTTGTGCCATCCATTCTCTTTTATTTGCATTGTATATAATGTGAAAATCTTTACTCTTTTAAATGCTTGATGTTGTGTATTTTTTCTGATTATGAAAAGTTTACTTTTGTACTTTCCTGCAGCATTTGCGTAAGCAAAAATTGTTAGTCTAGCTTTGGAATCTTTGACACCAGTTGGAGCCTTTTCTGTAGAGGTTGCCAAGGTATTTCGCAATACGTATTGCCAGAAAAGGCCAGTTTCATCAGCATTATGAATTTGTCCTGAAGATAACCTTTCACTATTAATTAGTTCAATGAATTCATCTGTGAATAGTTCAGCAGCTTCAGTATCAGTTGAAGGTTTTTTACCTGGTGTTGAATATGTGCACTCCAATCTGTTGAATATGTGCAGTCAGTTTTTAAGTTCATTTCTTCATGAAATATTTTGGCTTGAGCCATTAGCATGGACCCGTCAATGGCACGTCCTCACTGCATCTCTGTCTGATCATTCAATTATCACTTTGTCATGATATTGTCACTTTTAGCGTAGCGAATAATTTTTCTGTTATTTATTGCGAGTGATGTGTCAGAATTCACAAAAAAGATTCATAATGTTTTTTTTTTTTTTTTTTTCTGTTATGTCATGTAGAGTTGACTTTCCAATACCATACTCCTCACATTATTTTGAGAGGGATATACTTATATCCATTTTTTTCCCCGCAGTTCCACTTTCTGTTTATTGGACATCGAAATATGCTTTTGCTTTGTAGATCCTGTTGCAGCTCCAGAATTCAAAACTCTTTTCAACATAATTGAATGTTGAGACTTTAGTTTTCATAAAATTATCTGTAATTATAATAGCATGCAAAAAATAATAAGCTGAATCAAATCAAAAAGTTAAGGAACAGCACAATTTGCTATATTAACTGAAATTCTTTGGAATTATAATTGTAGTTTAGCTTTAACAGCGTCCGCTATGTAGCATGAGACTGGCAACGAAAAACAAAATGTTCTGTTAAATTTTATCTTGCTTCTATCACGCAATTATTCTTGAATTGTATGAATTTAGTTATTTATTATACTTATATGTAATTCTTGCACATGCTTAACCTGTTCAGTACGGGCATGTCATATATGCATCAGCAGCGAGTATTACCTCACAGCTGGGTGTGTCATATTTGAATCGCCATTTAATTCACCCTATTGCCGGGCATACCACACTTGACTTTTTAGATAAAATGTTTAATTAGTATTTTTTGTTGCCACTAGATGTAGCTGTATGTCTGTTATGGTGAAATATATCGAAAGTTAAGTTATGTGTACCTTTATTCCTATACAATGTTTTTTATTTTTGGTATTTTGTTTCGGAATGAGAGGGAGATTCGTGGGTGGGTGTTGAGCAATGTAATGTCTCTTTAACTGCGTCATTTGATATAAACAAATGCACATGTTCTCGATGCTTTGAGATACTTTTTATTTGTGCGATATAAGTATTTGAACGTAGAAGAATATACACAAATGCTAATTCGTTAGTGTTGAATAACGTAATGGCTCTTACTGCGTCATTTCATATAAACAAATGAACATGTTCTCCATGCTCTAGAATACTTTTTAATTTAATTAATTTATTTTTTATGCCAGTAGAGTAGATGTTTTATCACTAGAGACTTTTTTTATTACTCTCAGATTTGTCCGGCATTGAGACGAATATTTTGTATGGCTTAACGAAAGTTTACTTTTTAATGCTCTATTGCTGGTGTTCTATTTTTTTTTAATGGCAAAAGGAAAGTGCTATCTGACCGTAGAAGATACACAAATGCTAAATGAGTCAAATTTGCAGATTTTCTATTCCTGTGACATTTGCAACGTTGGACTTTGCGTACACCCATTTCAAAGAATATCATACACTGTCTCTTTTTTGAAATATTGCTTCCTTTTCGTTGTTTTCACATTGAATTTTTATGAAAGACAGTTTTAATATTTTTAAATTTTAATTATGTGTTGTGTTAAATAAAATCTGCGATTGTTTGGATATTTTTCCGTACATATTTAATTGTGGGATAAAGGAAAAATTATATTATTCTAGAATGAGTATTTTATAAAAATTTTAAGGAAAATATAACAATAAAGGTTTAAAATTAATTCTGACAACTACCTGAACGTTCTCATAATGTAACAAAAATTGGATCAATTGGATGACAAATTTAATTTATATGAATTTTTTTCCAAAGTTAGGCTTAGCAGCGTGAATTGCCCATCCCCACAAGACGACATATCCAGTTAACGCGCCTTCCCAAGAGAATGCTTCGGTAACAGAGGTGCCCACCGTGAACGGGTTAAGGCTTATCCAAGTCCGGAATAAATTAATTCCCACATATACTTGAGCTACTGAAGCAGTTTCTGCAGGTCCTAAATTCTGCTACCAAGTACCTCCCTAAGTTCCACTCCTTAATTTTGGGTCACGGTGCTTTCCCTAAATTCTAAAAATTTTATCATCTCTTAATTTTGTTGTTCGGTGCTTCTCTAAATTCCAAAAATTTTGTCTTCCCTAAATTCTGCCTCCCAGTGCTGTCATACGGGCTCTGGCACCGGTTCTGCATTTATGTGAATAGAAAATCAGTTATTCTTAATTCAAATAGCACTAAATGTAATATTTTGGCCTATAAGTATCATTAGCAAAATTTGTTTTTAGCATATGGAAAGAAATTTTTGTTAAATTTTCCCTCGTCAACATTTAATGCATTTAACTTAAACCTGTGATCATTGCCAAGCCATTGTCAGCATAAAGGGTTTCCATATTCTTTGTTATAAAAATAGTAATACAGTACACAGCCTTCAATCTGGACATCCATAATCCGGAATGATCTATAATCCAGACCTCAAAAGCTACAAACTTTCTGCGCATGTGTAAATGCATAATGCCTTTACGCATGCACATATTATGTTTACACATGCGCATTTAAATGTATAACAGACGGTATAAGCTAGGCTAAAATTATCTAATTATCTATTTCAGTTAATGTTGCAGATTGCGTTGTTCCTTAATCTTATAATTGGATCCGGCTCATTATTTTTTGCAGACTGTTAGAGCAATTTTATAAAAATTAAGCTTGAAATTTTGATTATGTCAAAAAGAGTTTCCGATTCTGGAGCTGCCAAAGGATCTACAAGTCCATCCAAAAAAAAAAAAAAAAAAGTGGAATTGTTTAAAATGGATAAAGGCATGAAGAAAGTGACAGAGAGGTTTGTGAAAACAAAAATATCTCGATTGACAAGTTAGTCGGTATTCTCGACACAGCAATTACAGGACATGAACAGTGGAACTTTGTAACTGAACAAGAAATTATGTCTGTTTATAAAGTTAATAAAGCAAAATATAATAAAATAGTCTGTTTATAAATTATGTCTGTTTATAAAGTTAGAGAAAGTATTAGCACGAAAAAAGAAGGAACTTAAACAACTTACATTGAAAGAAATGTTTAATAAAGTAAACAAATAAATATTATGCCTTTTTTTTTTTTTTTTTTTTTTTTTGTAAATTTTGATATCCTTTAGATCATAATTGCTCTTTATTTCATAAATTATGGTTTCATATTTTTAATTTTATAATTTCTGCATGCTATCTTACTAGATTTAAATTGATGATCTATAATCTGGAAAAACCCCTAATCCGGAATCATCGAAGTCCCGACGAGTCCAGATTAAAGACTTTGTAGTGTATAAAATTAGGCATTGCTGCAGGAGTCATTACATGTTGTCATGTGTTGATAAACGTATAGCGATGAAAGCAAAATATAATAAATTATGATTTGCCAGTTTAGCGGTGATATAAGTTATTAGTAGTTGTAAAATCAACTATGTTTCTATGTAAAATGTTTTGGTTTGAAATGTAGTATTCCAAGCAGATATGCAGCTGGGGAACCAAATGAATGATTACACAAATTTATGCTAAAATGATTGTTTCTTTAATAATGAGGTATTTTATTTAGAGTTGAAGTGAAATTAAGAATCGGGATTCTCTACATGTTTTCTTACGGGGGAAATAATCAATTGCACATGCATAAAAAGCATAAAAAATACCTAAAATATTTTTTTTTGTTGGTGACTTTAAGGTCTGGATTTTAGGTTCATTCTGGATTTTGGACGTCTGGATCTCAGACATTGTACTGTATATTATTTTATTACTTCAAGAGTAGTTCCATTATTTGTAATTTTTTAATATAGGTACTATAATGATGAGCGGTTGTGGCATACTTACAAATGGAAAAGGCAGCCGGAGAGAATATGGAGAATACAATTTAGATGAGCTTCATGTAATAATATTAATTTTTTTCTATCATTGAATATGTACATAATTTTATTTTATAAAATACTTACTAGTATTTCTGTACTTAAATGGTAAATATGTATTTCCTTAAAATGGAGTTCTTTGTCTGCAAAAAACCTTCCTTTTTTATATTTGAACATAAAATGAAATTTGATGTTGAATTTTCAAAAGTATTTGAAAATCTTCCTTGAAATTTTGATGTTGCTACGGTAATTATTAGCATGTTTGTTGCCAAAGCTGATATGGTGCTTATATTCACATGTGCCAAGATCCTATCTGCATTTTTATGCATTTAAATTATTTTCTATTGTTACTTTTAGTAGTAAATAAATTCATGTGAGTATACTTGTAGTTGGCGTACAAAATAATATTAACCTTCATATTCTCCCTATACTCACTCTGAGATTACATGAAACTAGATGAACAGTACTCGCTCATTCTGCACATTCATACTAAACTCCTTTGTGTGCAGTATATTATTTTTTATTAGTCTCCCACAAGTCACTAAACAAGAACTTGAGCTGTCAATTTGTAATAGTTCCCTTATGAATAAATAAAACAAAATGTGGTTTTGATTTCTAAAAATTTATTATTGTATCTACATTTTGAGGAATATATTAGCCATTTCAGTATGCCAAATGTGTTATGTAGCCCCTACCTGTACACCAGACACCTAAACATTGCTTGCATTTGGTACAGCAATACTTTGTGATATAGGTAAGGAAATCAATAACAAGTTATCTCATAAGTAGCAAGTAAACTCAGTTTGCCAACTATAAGTATTCTCCTAGATGACAATGAACACTTTATAGGAATGGGTATTAATGATGGAAATGATTTTTCTCTAAAAAGATTTTATTTACAGAAATTGATATTTTTATTTAAAATTGTATTTAATATTTTTCAGCTTGTGGATGTTAAATTTATGAAATACTAGCTAGATAGCACTCTAGCTTCAAAATTAATGAATGCCTTAGCAAGGCTGTTTGTTATTTTGAAAGGATAATAAGACCAGGAATTTAATATAGTAAACTGTTTATATATTAAATGAAACTGGTCATACCAGCAGTAGAGAGAGCAATACTTTTGTCCAAGGTATTTTTGGTATTGCACTTCTATTAAAACACCTTAATGTATTTATAATAATCATAGTTAAATAGTCTCATGTTTATTTATTGAATTTCAGTTTTTAATTACATTTTTTTAAAAATTTTTATAGCTATGTATAATTATAAATGAAAAATAAAGTAATTGCTTTATAAAACTATTTTGTAGGAAGGTGACAGAATTGGACTTGTAAGAAAGGCTAATAAAAATTTGCATTATTATATTAATGGATTAGATCAAGGTATTGCTGCTGAAAATGTTGCTGATGTTGTATATGGTGTTGTTGACTTGTATGGCATGACAGTGAAAGTTACTATAACAGATAACTTTAAACCTACTCCTAATACTCATGATGCAGAAATTATACCTTCTTCTCTGGAAATAACAAGTCATTCTTCTAGTAAGTTCTGTTTTAGAGATCCTTATGTGTTCTGATATGTGCTTTATATATGGATTTTTTGCTATATGTGGATTTTTTGCTTTTTTTTTCCTTAAAAATAAAACAAACCTACCATTATTAATTCTGAAGTATCGTTAATATCCTTTATTATGTAAATGTAGATAACACAGAAATGTTAGCCATATAAATATTTGACCTAAAAATAAATGACACATGGATATCTAATCAGGTTCTTTAAATGTGGATCTATATATGGATTTTTAGCTCCCCCCCCCCTTAAAAATTGCCATTGATAATTATGAAGAATTGTTACTATCCTTTATTATGTAAATATAGATAACATAGAAAAGTTAGCCATGTAAATATTTGACCTAAAAATAAATGACACATAAATATCTAGTCAGGTTCTCTAAAAATTAAATGCAGAAATTTATGTTTTTAATGTAATTTCTTTCACTTAAGTATTTGATCCAAAATTTTGTTTTGTAGCTGTATTTTTTTAAGTGCTTGCCATCCAATTAAGAGTTTCTGTGTACATACTTTCTGTATTGCCCAAATATCATATAGTTTACAGAAGTGATTGCTATTTGTAAAAATTTTATTTATGGTACTATATATTGTCCTTCTTGAGTTTATAAACAGTTGAGTATAACAGAAAATCAAGGGATTTCTTATAGAATTTTGCTTCAGAATGATTTGGAGTAATTTTTATCTCACAAAGAAAGCAGTTTTATAGCAAAAATAAAATAACTTTTGATGATGAAATTTTATATATAATGAATGATGCAAAAGGCAATCTGATATGGTGGAATTTTGCATTGTAACACTTGAGGGAAATTTATTAGTCAAACAGCCAAAAAGCAGTAAAATTTATAAATCAAGTTATAAAACAAGTAGGCATTAAAATTTGTTTTTATGGTTTTTCCCATATGTTATACAGTTACGAGCTAGTTTCTGTGAGAAAGTCTGTTCTGCCTAAAGACTTTTTTTTCTAGTTGCTTTGCCTTAATTGAATAACCTATTCTAATCATTAATGTTCCTTAACAAAGTAAAAGACATATAAATAAGGTAATAAAATTATCTGTAGCAACATAATTTGTGATAAATTTGTCAGAACAAATAAAGAAACCTATGTTTAATTAAAGGTAGCTATCTTAATGTATCGACATAGATTTTTCAGAAATTTATGTTCCATTTTCTTTCATGTTGACTGAGAAACAATTATATATTTAAATATTTGGATATGCATTTGATTCGAATTTATAATTGCAGTTGTGCAGATTTATGAAATGGGAAGTCTACTTCTCTCACACATTTACAGTGTCCCTACTCTTAAGATACAAATTATGTTTGTTACTTTTTTTGCATTTTTACAGTGCTTTTTCTTTGAAATTAAAATGTGATTTCGAGGCCCTTTAGATGTGGAACCCTTCGGGATTGTGACTTACACAATTCCATAAATCTGTTTCGAGAATGCAGGTGGAATACTACTAGAATTGGTATAAACATATCATAAACAAGATTTGAGCCCAAAATGTATTATTTACAAAAAGCTGTACTCAAATTCTATTTTGGGCATATTTCATATTACACATCATGTAAATTTTATGAAATTTTGTATTTTTATAAGGAACCTATTGTTTTTTAATAGATATTTATCAGCAGTATAAAATCTCACATAGTTTGATTTTTTTTTGTTTTTCATAGGTCAAAGAGTTGGTTTAAGATATGATGATTTATTATTTAATGAACGTTGTGGCCTGCATGTGACTGTTGTGAATGGTGGTAGAACAGCTCTTAGACCTAAGTATGTAATATAAAAATATTTGTATTAATATTATTTTATCATTCATATGTTTTGTAATGATACTTTAAGTCAGAGCTTCTTAAACTGTGGGTTGCTAGACCTGCAGCAGGGGGTCGCCAAAAATTTTAGCAATTTTGATACTTCTTTAACTTATTATAATGATTGTATAATTACGAAATATTTTCACATAATATATCTGAAAATAGGTGAAGATAAGACAATACAGACAAAGAAAAAACAAAAATGTTTTGATTCATTTTTTTTACAATAGAAATGTTCCTTTTTTTAAAAAATTAATGACCTAACACTCCAATAGTATACTACATTACAAGTGAAGAAACTGACAGTTTCACTCATGCGTGTGTCGGATTTGCACGATGCTTCTGGGGGGGGGGTCTCCCAAAATTTTCATAAATATTATGGAGTCTCCAAACTAAAAATTTTAAGAAACCCCGCTTTAAATTATATTTAATCATTTTTCATCTTTTCTATTGTTAAGTCTTCTGTACAAAAGGACTGTTAGTGACATATATATTTTATTACATTTCAATCATATAATATGCAGTTGGCTTACATTCTGTAGAAAAAGGTCAAAGTGTAAAACTGCATTTTAAGTATAAATTATTTTATAATGCATTAAGTTCATAAAGGAAATTTCCTGTGTGTAATATGGTATCCCCAAATTAGATACTCTAGCAAAGTAATTCAACTGAAAACTTCATGTTTTTCAGCTTATTGAATATGAACTAAAAAGAAATGTGTTGAAACATAGTATTTTGGTCATTTTATGAGATCATATTATTTAGGCATTTGTAGAGTTGAAGACTGCTATGAATCAGCAGTTACTAGGTACATATTTGATTTTGGTTTTATATTCTTAATATAGATCTTCTGTTGATAAATATATATGATCCATTCAAAAGTATCCAGCTATTTTATATCTTCTTAGAAGAAGTTAATCACAGGAAATGGGTTTTAGTGGCTATATGTTAGATACCTGTTGCAGGCTCTATGAATCCTAAATTCTGCTACAAAGCGCCTAAGTTCTAAATTTTTGCCGCACCTAAACTTTGCATCCCAGTGCTTTCCGTAAATCATAAAAAACTTCTCATCCCTTAATTTTGCTGCTCAGTGCTTCCCCAAATTCCAAAAATTTCATCTTCCTTAAATTCTGCCGTGCGCCGGCACTAAATGTAATCTTTTGGCCTTTGAGTTTCATTAACGAAAGCTATTTTTAGCATATGAAAAGAAATTTTTGTTGAATTTTTCCTCGTCAACATTTCTTAGAGTATTTAAAAATCTATAGTCATCACCAAGCGTAATGCTAGCATAAAAGGTTACATGCTCTTGTTATTCAATTACTAATATAAAAAAAAAAAGTTTAGACATCACTGCATGAGTTATTACTGAAGCTGTCATGTATTGATAAACATGTGATGATAAAATGAAAATATAATAAATAATGACTCGCCAGGTTGGCATCAGGGATGTAAAATAGATGAATCTTTGGGTTTGAGATGTATGCCAAGCAGATACTCAACTACGGAGCCAAATTATTAATCTCACAAATTTATGCTTACATGATTGTTTTTCGATAATGAGGTATTTTATTTAGTGCCTAAAGAAAATTAAGAATCAGAATTTTTAAGTGAAAATCTCCTCGTGTTTTATTATGGAAGGGAAAATCAAATGCGCATGTGTAAAGCATAAAAAAAAAAAGTTTGTGGCTTTGAGGTCCGGATTTTAGATCATTCCGGATAACAAATGTCTGGATTTTGGACTTTGTACTGTATTTCATTTCAGAGATGGCTAAATATTGGTAGAGATCAATTAGGTCAATGGTCTCAAATTCAAACACTGGATGCAGGCTGAATGCATGATCTGAAGGCAGCTGAGGGCCCACATCATTTTTTAAATAAAATGAATTTATATGTGTGCAGACACACATTTTTGTATATATATATATATACACACACACAAATGCTTGCATAGTGCATACACTATCTAACACACACACACATATATATACAACAAATACATATACACGCACACATATATATACAAAAAATATATACAACAAATACATATACACGCACACATATATATATATGTGTGTGTATGTATTTGTTGTGGTGCTTTATATGCTTCTAACGTATGGATATCATCTCTTTAGAAACTAGTATTGCACATGATAGGCATTTGCACTAATTTCATGCAAGCTTATTATATGTTTGAAAATTATATTTTTTAAATTTAATTTGCCTGGAACATTGTTAATTGAATAATTAATGTCAGTAGTATTCAATTGTAGTTTCTACAAAATTTTTGTCTATGTTTGCTTTTAATTTCTTAAACTTATCATTTTTTTTCTTTTCTTCCTGCCTAAAATTAAGAGATTCTTTCTTTTGGTTAAATTTTTTTCTGTTGTTCTTAGGAGCCTAATCGCTCACAAATATTTATCAAAGTAATTATTAATAATAAATGCAAACAAAAAATTCAAATTTATATTTATTTTTTACCTGAAATCTAAATTTTGGTGCCTGCAAAAATAATTCTCTTTAGGCTTTATGAGTTCAAATTTATTGATAGCTAAATGTTAAATTTTCAAACTGATATTTATTGCAAATAATTCTAATGCAGTGGTCTCCAAAATGGGAAATGCCATACCTCAAAGGATATGCCATAAAAGTAGGCTCACAATCATTTGGAAGTGCTGGGCAGACAGTATAGTGGTTGGGGAAGCCGACTGCGATAGCAAGAGGCATGGTTTCAAATCCTGGAGAAGGCATGGTTGTAACTGTCAGTCCCTTCATAAGAGGCAAAGATGGCCTACCTATTATGTACCTTCATAATAACGTGACCACCACTTCTGGCTTAATAATGGCCAAATAAAAGTCAGCTGAGGGCCCACTATTGGGGGGGGAATCACTTGCAAGTGTATTATTAAGGGCATCATGTAGGTGCAGAGTTCTTTTGTTGGTTGCTGTGTCTGATTTCACTTTCATCTGGGAGCTCAACATCATAACTGCATTGACTTTAAAGCACATGTATATTACATTACATTATATATTTATTATATAAGGTACAGCTTAAAATTATTTTCGTGTTAGGAGTACATGATTCAAAAAGTTTGAAGGTAGCTGTTCTAATAATATTGAATTAACTACTAAATAACTTACTTAAAATAAATAAACTTTATGAAAAATTTCTAAATTTACAGAGAAAACGAAGTAGGTCAAAATGCGAGAATAAATAATGAAAATCCTCTTTCTTTTAGTTATTAAATTTTTCTTCTATACATCCAGGAAAAAATACATATATTTGTATGTAAACAATTAGAAACTTTTCTATTTCTTACAACTTGTCACTTAAGGGTATTTAGATTCTGATAAAGCTTGTAGCCTTGGAGACAAATAGCTAAAAATTGTAGCCTTGGAGAAAAACTATTAGAAAATATCTTCACCGTGAATTGCAAATGCTCATTGGTAAAGTGTGTTCTTTCTCAGACTTACTAATTTTCCACTGGGGGGGGGGGTGGACTGTTCACTTGTAAATGCACTCTCAAACAAAGTGAATATTCTCTTACAAAAATTTATGACTGAGGGTATTTGTATTTTGATGAGTATGAATAAAAGCTAATCAAATCTATGTCTTCTAATCTTTGACTGAGATTTTTATCACACTAATAATAAATTAAAGAGCTGCATTTTTAAATTTTCTGGTGTGTTATTGATTGTTAATTTTAATGGTGATGAAAATAATGTAAAATTCGATTACAAGTCATTAAAATCAATGCATCTTTCTTTCAGTTTTATTATAATGGTGCTATTTTTCTTGCATATTTTTGCTATTTTTCATTTGAAATATTAGGGTAGGATTTAAGATGTAGGAAACATACAGAATAATTTGATTCAAGTTGTATTCCCTGAAACTGCAGTTGGAAAGGTTTAATATAAGCATACATACCAATGAGAAATTTATTCTTCCTCTGCAGCTCTTTGTTGAGAATGTAAATGTCCATGAAGTCGACAAAAAATGTTAAATCTGCTATCCATGTATCATTATATAGCTTCTGAATAGTTTTTATTTATAAATTTTTATTTCATTTATTAAATGAAAGAAGCCTCATTATACTAAATAATTTCTCTGTGTTCTCTTTCAATTTCTTCAAGTAATGCAATAAATTGGGTAATTTAGAGCTCATTCACTGATAATTTTCTACTTTAGTTATTGTTTCAGTAACCTTATCTGTCTACACACTTTTGGCACCATGATTACAAACAGTTGCATTATTTATTATCTCTTTAAAAATGTATTCATAGGCCACATAAAATTGCTTCAGGGGCCACAACATGAGACCACTGAAATAGGTCATATTCCAGTAGCCTGTTATCAAATTGAAATAATATTATCAAGTATTAAATTTGGTGTGTAGTTTGGTGAATATGGACATGTCTAGGACAGTTGTTTCACTATCTAAGAATTACTAGATGAAATGAAGACAAGCATTTATTCTATATCCCCTGTTTTTATAGAAGATTTAAATATTTTAAGAATAGCCATCAAATATGTGCTAAAGCAAAATTGATTAGAATGATGCAGCTTGCTACAGCATGCTATCATGTACAGAAAATAACAGCTTCCTGAACATCATGGATGATTTTTGGTGAGCTCTGGTGATGAACCATGGAATTACAAGTATAAAAAATACCATTACAATGATGCACTTTGAATATGAACAGCAAATTTAGAACTTTACTAAAGAATAGTACTTAAAGGTCTTTTTTGAATTTATGACCAAAAATTTTGACCAGCAGCGATGGCCAAAAATTTTTTGGGGAGAAAGCAATGTGTGTGTGTGCAAGAGAGAAAGCTATTAGTCTGGAATTCTAAAAATTGTGAACAAAGAAACTGAAACTGAAGGTCTAAAACAATCCAATTTTTAGGTAATATTTCTTACAAAATTTGCTTAATTAGTTTATTAAATGTGTTATCATGTTACAGAAAAAGCTGCTGTCACTGTGACTTTGCCAAAAAATTTAGACGTGTCCTATAGGAGTTTCAGATAGAAGTACATGAAGGGATTTGACAATGTGTTTTTACTAAATGATTTGGTGAAGTTATAATGCTTTATTATTTTTTCTGATAGTCAGTCAAAACCTTTTAATTTATTTTTTCCTCTTCTGCATTACACAAACTATGTAAAAATTGAAAATAATGGGAACCTGTGAAAATAATGTGAAAACTAAATATCCAAATTGGTAAACACACTTATTAGAATCACTTATATATTTTGGTTCTTATGGCCACATTTGTTCTGGGAACTGATCAGAAAATACTGTAGTTTTGCTTTTTAATGCAGCACATTTCTAATGCTGCACATTGTGTCATATTTTTACTATTTGTTATGAAAGTTTAAAAACTGGAAAGTTATTGATCCTTGTTTGTGGTTTGTTGTGTTTTTAGTTTTCCATTCGGAAAGATAGCAATTTTTAATTCTAAAAGTCTGTTTAACATATATAGTTTAATTTTTATGAACTGTTTATTAAGTTCATACTAAAGTAGCTTGAAAGTAATTTGAAATGATGCTATATTATGGGAAACATTAGCTTTTGGGTGAAGTAATAAACATTAAATGTTCTGCTCACTTTTTATCTTAGTAATAAATTGAAATCACTAAAGTTAGAAATAATTTTGCAATGAATTGTGTATTTAGAATTTTTTTTTTTTTTTTTTTTTTTTTTTTTTTACATTTAATGATTAAATAATTATTTTATCCCTTCATAAGAATTAGAAGTATTCCTTCCTTAACACTGTATTAAATTGGAAATTATTTTTTTGTTATTTAACCATCAACTAATATTCTTTTAGCTGTTTGGATGATTTTAACAATGCTGTTGTAGTGACTAACAGAAAACTGAAACCAGGCGAATTATTTGAAGTTCTTCTAGAACAAGTTGTTATGAAATGGGCAGGCACAATTGAAATTGGTGTAACTATGCATTCTGCAGATGACCTAGAATTTCCATCAACTATGACTAATGTCCGTTCAGGAACATGGATGATGACAGGAAATGGCATTATGTATAATGGAACTACAATATCTGATGAGTATGGATGTAACTTAGATAAGCTTAAGGTTATTATTTTTTAAAATTTTCTTATAATTATACTTTTATAATGTATGTGGTTTTGAAATGAAACATAAGCAGTACTATAACTTGTTATATAAGTTTTCTTCTTAATAAATTGTATTTAAAGAAGCTGACATGTAAAAGATGACAGTAGGAATTCAGATGGTTTGTTCATCATTAGTATTCTAAGTCTTACAGTATATGTTATTTTTATTAAATTTTATCTTGTTGTTTAGAACCACTAAAGATACTAAATAATTATTTCAATTTTCAAAAGTAATTCAATGAAAAATAAATAAAATGCAGTCATTTATGTGGCTTTAGAATGCACCATACTTGAAAAATTTCGTGCAAACTATATTTGAGACATGTGCTGTCCAGACGGTATAGTGGTTAGGGCAGCCAACTGTGATACCAAAGGGCATGGGTTCGAATCCCAGAGAAGGCATGGTTGTACCTGTCTGTCCCTTCATAGGAGGCAAAGATGGTCCACCTATTAGATTCCTCCATAATAAAATGACCAATACTTCTGCCTTAGTAGTGGCTCGCCATTAATTTAAAAAAAAAAAAAAAAAATTGAGAAAGGAATGCTTGATTAAATACTATTTAAAGTCCCTTGTTCTTGGTTACTAGGAAATTAAACATTTTTATGACTTAAAATATTTATACAGTCAAAAGTCTTTAAACCAGACGTCCATAATCCAGAATGATTATTATTAGGACCTCAAAGCTAGAAACTTTCTGTGCATGTGTTGATGCATGCACATAATACCTTTCCGCATGCGCATATGTGTCTACGCATGCGCGTTTAATGTCTAACGGATGGTATAAGCTAAGCTAAAATGATCTAATTATCTATTTCAGTTAATGTTGCAGATTGCGTTGTTCCTTAATCTTCTAATTGGATCCGGCTTATTATTTTTTGCAGACTGTAAGAGCAATTTTATAAAAGTAAGCTTGAACTTTCGATTATGTCAAAAAGAATTTCCGATTCTGGAGCTGCCAAAGGATCTACAAAGCGAAAGCATGTTTCGATGTCCATCAAACAAAAAGTGGAATTGCTGCAAAAAATGGATAAAGGCATATCCTTTGTTTCTCTAACCATTCCCAAATCTGTTTATCAATTTCACGCTGCTCTGCGGGGAGGGGGGGGGACATCGCGCGGCGCGCAATGAACTGGAAGTTGATCTGTCAGCACTATCCTTATCTTCAGGGCAGATGTTTTTATTTTATTCGGCTTATAATTCCTTACTAAATGTAGTATTTCATCTCGATGTACTCTGTCTTTGATATGATTTAAATCAAATTCCTCGTCATTATAAATATCACAAATACACATCAAATAGTTTTCTGGTTGCAATTTTCTAATTTCGACTATGCGTAATGTATGCTTTATGAATGCGCGCATTGAAAGAAATGTTTAATAAAGTAAACAAATAAATATTAAGCTTTTTTTTGTACATTTTGATACCCTTTAGATCATAATTGCTCTTTATTTCATAAATTATGGTTTCATATTTTTTATTTTATAATTTCTGCATGTCATCTTACCAGATTTAAACTGATGATCTATAATCCGGAATAGCTGAAGTCCTGACGAGTCCAGATGAAAGACTTTTGACTGTATTATAACTTGTAAATTTAACAAAATTTATTCATGTTTGATTGACCTTTAGAATTTTTCAGCAGTGACATTTATACATTGCTTTATATTGCCATGCATTTATTAACAATGCAGTTTGGCAATTATTGCCATTATATAAAATCTTTATTTTCTATCTGGCTTCACAAATATCAGTTCTCAGAGTATTGCCATTTATCAAAGCATGATATCTTTAATTTATGTTTCAGATTTAGTCAGTCTATATCTTCTTAATAAACTTAGCACTTTAAATGCAATAATACTTACAATTTAAATTATTATTTTACCTTCTAATAATATAACTAATTGATGCTATTGTAAATAATTTAATTTATATTATATCTAACTGATGATTTTTGTAAGTATTTGCAACTTCTTATCACTAATAAAAGATATTGTCAATATCATTTATTATGTACTGTGTTCCAGAATAATTGTGTGGTTTTAAATGACAGGCTATTTCATGTATCTTCAGATATAGTTTTGTTAATTCTTTACTAAAGCCTAGAAGAATCTTTCTAATTTTTCTCTTTTGTGATGTGTTCAATTATTAATAATTTAGAATAGCTAGGCAATGAAGAACATATATACGAATACAATAATACCATCTGTATGATCTTATTTATTATAAACTTATGATTTTATGTCATTGCTTATTCCTATGCCTCTATTTGTAGCCACTGGAATAAGCATATGAAGAGTCAAGAATGCTATTAAAGTGTGTTTGTCAGTGGCTAAAAATGTACATCATCCGGTGACAAAATGACTTCCACTCCAGCTTTAATTTAAAGCTTGTCATGGAATAGAATATTAGATCTTTGTCATGATCCTCTATCAAGAACCTCTCAAAAGGACTTAAATTAACAGATTTTAAGTTCTTCCATTCTGCAAAGACATTATGTAGCTGCCTTTTGTTTACCAACTTAATGTCGAAGCAAAAAAATGTATTAACAGCTTTCTCCTTTCAAAAGAATGGCTGTGCACTAATTTTCTCTTTGAGAAACTGTTTGGTATTCATTTTATGCATGAGAAAGAAAAAAAAAAAAAAAACACAACACACACACACACACACACACAAGAACATCATAAAGTCACTGGAAATTAAATCTGGAATGAACTCTCAGTGTAACATGCCTTGAACCTAAGGTGAACTATTAGTGTAGCATGCCTTTGGTGAATTTTTTTTTTTTTTCAGCATGTATTTAGATCACTTATCACTGAAAAGATTTTATTGAGTTTATTACCAGAAGATTTTTATGATCAGTCTGTTTGAAAAATGATTGAAAAAGTAGAGAATGAAAGTTTAAAAATAACTTTTTATTAAAAGATACACTTAGAAGCAAATGACTGCAAAGTTTGAAATATTAACCATACACATGTGGGTATTTGCTGTAAATGTGAAATATTTATTGTGTTTCTTATCTTTTGGTGGGCTGAATAATAAATATTAACAATCTGCAAATCTAAAAGAATCAGCTTATTCTATCGAAAACCAGATTTATCAATGAACTTACAATAGTTTTCATTCATATGAATATATTTTCCTTAATTTTATTTATATTATTCTAAAATTATAATTGAGAAGTTTTTGAACATTTATATTTGATAAAATTCTGTCCTTGCCCTTTATTTAATATAGGCTGGTGATAGAATTGGAGTGGTAGTGTATGAGGATGGAAAATTGCATTTCTTTGTAAATGGCATCGATCAAGGTCTAGCTGCATGTAATGTGCCTATGGGAGTCTATGGAGTAATTGATTTATATGGTCAGGCTGCCAAGGCATCAATAGTTCGGTCCACAGGTATATTATCTCTATATACTAATTGTAATTTATGTAAATGAATAAATAAATGCGTATAACAAGATATAAATCTATAATAAAGTAAATAAATGTATGTAATAATAAAATTTTGATGGCATTGTAGATGATGATAATGAAAGGTGTATGTTATGTGAAGGAAGCTGTCATGGCCAACTGAACACTTCTTTATTCATAGCATAACATTCATTAAATACACATAACTAAATTGATACAAGTTGCACATCTGTTAATCAAGTTGGACATCTGTTACTTTTTGCATTTTCAGGCTGCAGTTGCAGCTTGAAAAATTATGTCATCATATACATATTAGTGATAAAACTTTCATTTATTTTTAAAATTATTTAAGACTCCAACAGTTGGTACCACTGGTTTTTAAAATGATTTGAAGGATGTACTAATTGCAAAAGATGTTCCAATCTTTGTTTCTTAACTGCAGTTTGGAGCTAATGTAAACTCATTTCTTTTTCAAGTATTTGTGGTCAGTCATTGTGCTATTGGACTGTATAATATAGGTATGCTAAGTAGAACTCTGTTTTCAACTACAGAAGGTATCTGCAGTTTGGTATTATAAATAGTAGGACCAATAATTTCCTTTAGTAGTATAAATGGCTACTGCTCTTAATAGTAATGATAATGTAATGATAAAAATAATCTAGGCCGCTGGAATAGAACTTATTGCATTTTATTTCCTTGAACCAAAATCTTTTATGTAGAATAATTTATTTTATGTTCAAAATTTAAAAGTTGGTTGGAAATTAAAAGTACTTAAAGTTTTCTTGATGAAGGAAAGATAGAATAAATCATGTAAAAATGCAAATTTTGCATTTAAATTAAGTTTTGTTTTTATTTCAAAGAGAATCAAGTGAATGAAAATTGTGACATATCAGCATTATTGGAAATAAAATTGTAATTTCCATAATTAGTAAATTTTGAATCCAGTTTTTTATTGATGTATTTTGTAATTCAAATTCTTGAAGAGTTGACTAACTTGAATTTCTTTTCTCCTCTTTTTGATAGATTCTCCAATTTATTATGAAGATTTGATCCAATCATCTGCCACTAATTTTATGGAGGATTTACAAATGAGGTAAATTATTTCTGATTAAAATTTATAATTGCTGGAGTTTTACTGTTTCTGTCCATTTATAATTGATTTTTAATGAAATTTATAAATGAAACATTAAACTTGGTAAACTTGGTAATACAAATCAGCAGATATAAGTGTATTTAGCTTAATAGTCAAGAAATCTGTTTTTTGCAGATTTGCAATGTATGTTTATACTGTTGAAATTTTAATTTTTAATATAAAATTTATTTTAATATTAAAATAGGAGGATTTCCTGGTTGAATTCATGTCAAGAGAAAATGTTAAGTTTCTTTTAAATTAATGGAAAAAAAAAAAAAAAAAAAAAAAAACTTTCTTGTTTATTAGAATTAGTGTGCTTTCCTGATATGTATTTGGTTATTGCAAATGAAATTACCAAATGAGGTAAGATTTCTACTGGTTGCAGAAGAAAACAATACCAAATTTTATGTTATGTGATAACACATGAGTGATGTAATTGTTTTGTTTAATGAGGATTTAACACTGAAAACTTCCAATTTTAACTTAATCATGGACCCAGTCAATTGAGATTACATTATCTTTATGAATTCAAATTAAGAAATTTTGCAGTGGCTGCCGTTAAAAATATCAATAAAGCATTTCATGGAGGAATGGTTAATGAGGGATCTACTCACTGTTGGTCTGTAAATTTTACTGAAGAGAATCGGGGCTACAAATTGAACCCTATAGTCATCACCTTATCTGTAATTTGAATGAATTAAAAGATTTAAATAAATCAAATCCATGATAAACTGTACAAGAGACTGGCTAGAAACTAAAAGTAAACTTTCAACTGTTTCCTGGACTTAAAGTAACAGAAAATATAAGGAAATTTGACAATTGTGTTCTTCATGAATTCATCAATGTGCAAGCCATTTAGAATTGTGCCCTTTCTTTCTTCTCTTTTTTCTTTTCTTTTCTTTTCTTTTTTCTTTTTTTTTTTTCTTTTAAGAAGTGAAAAAGCAAATTTTCTGCTTCAAATAATGATCGTCGAAGAGAAGTGGTTATTCTGTGACAATTATGCATATTTATTGCAGTAGGTGGGAAAGAAAAATACTCTGGGAAGGGCATCTTTTGCATCTGAAGAAAATGTTTTTTTACTGTATTGTGATCTTGTACTGATGTTAATCACAACTCATTCCTTCCATCAGATGAAGCAATAAATCTAGCTTACAGGTATGTGGTAAATACACAGCAAAGTATCCCTTAAGCATCCAGCACTTGTAGAATAAACATGAAGTCCTGTTGCTCCTAAGGTAATGCCCAACCGAATACAGCAGTATAAACCATGATGAATAATTTGAAATATGAAATGGTATCCTGTTCTGCATACTTTCCTGACATTTTCTCAACAGATTACCATATTTTCTAGCTTTTGATCTACTTTTTATCCAAAAAATGCTTTACCAATGATGTATCAGTTTGTTATTTAGTGGAGGAGATTTAATTACTTTCAAGTACATAGATTTTTGCAAAATGGTATAAATGGTCATGCCACATGTTGGCGGCAATACATTAATGCTACTGTAGATTATTATGACAAAACAGTTATTCTTTTCAGTTGTCTTAAAAAATATACCATTTCATTTGCAAAAGCCCAATACTTGTTGTAAAGAAATCATAAATCATTTCTCCTTTTTTGCAATGAAATATTAACAAAAGATTGCTCTAAATAGTTCCTAGAAATACTATAACCTTTAAAGTTATTTGATATTGAGCTTGTATTTAAAAAATATATTTTTTCTCCTTAAGTTTTCTTTATGTGCTTTTTCCTAACAGTCAAGCATCGTCAGTACGTATAAACCAGAAAAATCATCCTATAGGGAAAGTTGAGGCTGATCACATCAATGAAGTTTCAAGACCACTTGGAGCAGCTATTTATGATCCATTATCATTATATTTTGACGATGGTGATGAAAGTTTAGAGGAACATACAAATGATGATATAAGTAATGCAAAAAAACTATTGTTGTTTATAAAAATTGTAAGAAAATTTTGTCTTTTATAATGATCATTTAAATTAATCAATTAAAAAAAATAAAATTTGAAATTATTTTATTAGTTTGAATGAAAACTATTAGAATTTGAGAGAATCTAAGTAATGAAAAATTATTTAAAAAAGCTCTGATACTCCACACTTCTTGCTGATAAACGTTTATTGTTTTATATATTTTTTAAAATTTTGCTAAATATTGCAGAGTAAAGTTTATGGTAATGCTGATGTAAAATTAGACTGGCATAGATTTTTGTATAAAACTTTAAGAATTTCAGTTGCAATTAAGTTGCAATTAATAGGTGTCTTTTCTTTTGTTCTTGAAGAAGAGAGATGTAAAAATTGCCCATAAAGGAACCTGGAGAATATGAAACTGTGTTACAGTAGCTTCTCAGCCTAATGCATTGCAAAAAATAGTTTTTTTTAATGGAAATTTTTTCTAAATTTATTCATCTGTAATTAATATTAAAATAGTAGTTCTAGTTTAATCACTACGATAAATGTTGTTTCATTGCATATATATCAGGGTGACATGACAGTAGAAACAGCAGTACTTCATGTTAGAATTTTTTAAAAAAGTTTAAGATCCATATTTGCATCATTTTAAAAAATATTAAACAGCTTTTAAGTGGAAGAAAATATTTGAAATAAGTAAACGAGTATGTTTCTGTATTACAAATTGTCAAAGTTACAAATTGTCACGTATCACATTTTTATTTAGGTTATATGAATATATATATAAACTAACTAATTCTTATATCTAGTCTATACTGATTTTTCTGTATTTTAGCTCTTGCATAATCCTCTGTAAAGGATAAAATAAGTGATATAGGACAATGTGTGTTGTGTAGAAATTGCTATTTGGGAAAGGAAAAGTATTTTAAAATAAGATTGTAAGGAATTATCACATTTCCCTGTGTGTGCTGTTGTTATGTAAACAGTTAAAACATCCAACTAGATTTGCAATTGCAACCAGAAGATCTGCAATTTTAATCCTAGTGAGAGTATGATTTTTTTCATTTGCTTGCTCTGAAAACCTTATGGCCACTATAGGGATGCTTGAACTAAAAGTTGCACAACAGCACATCATGACATGAATTTTGTTGAGTAGGTTTTGTACCTTTTTCCAGGTATCCTTTAACTGGGGAAGAATGTGGGGAATTATCATAATCCTCTGTGCATATTGTCATGTATAAGTGATTAGCACATTTAATTAGCAATATTCAGGCCTGAGATTTGAATCCCAGGAGACAGTTAATTTTTTAAACTTCCTTCTTTGGGTAGGAGGGATCCCTAATGATTTTTATGAATTGCTAACTTTAAGAGGCCTTTGTACAAAAAATAATAATTTAGTTTTGTATAATTAACACAATAATAAACATACCAAGTTCCTATTTAGCCTTAAATATTTGAATTAAGTTCATTAGATGTGAACTAGATTATCATTTATGTATATTTTTCCCCTAATAATAGAGGGTTCAAATGCTTTGAATCTCTGAATCTTGAACAATAATTGATATTCTAAATTTTGAATCATAGTACTTTTCATATTATTCACATATTTTAAATCCTAACATAGAAATAATTAAATATTGTAATTCAAAACTTTGGAAAGATTCCTTTTATTGACATTCAATAGAAACATTTATTAAAATAAGCATGCAGTTGTCAGTGGTATCTGAATCACCAGTACTACTTTGAGGGCCTGAGTATCATATCATTTCAATGTAACATTCAGCAAGAATTTTCAAGTAATCAGTATGCTGTACTTTCTCGAAAATGTTTGCATCATTTCAGTTGTTCTGGTTATAGATAACATACTACTGACAAGCCCTAGATGTTTCTAACTGCTCGTGTTGTAATATGTAAATATTTTACTACAGATATGACTGTTTATTTATAAATTGAACTCATGGCTGTTGATTAATTTTGAACTGTTGCTTAATCAAGTTTTAAGAGTTTAATTACTTAATTTTTTTTTACAAAACTTTGTTTGAATCTTCTTACTAAATATAGGTATTTCATAATTTTATTTTTTATTAAATGCAGCTTTTAAGTTAGAAACTTTTAATATTAAGTAATAGATTTCCTTCCTTTTTTCCTCTTCTTATTATTCTTATTTGAAGGGTTTGAGATAATCTTTCTAGATTTGGATTCAAAGAAATTCAGGGTTTGATCAATCTCTAGGTTTTTTTAAAGCAAGCACACTAAAAACTCTTATTACATAGCGTTTTTCAACAAAATTTGAGATAGATTATTAACAAATAGTAGTGCCAGTATATCTGTGTCATTAAAAACTATGCATGCGATAACAGCTGTAATAAATGGGGGATGCAATTGAGCTAAATTTCATTTTCCCAATATCTGCTTCATTGTAGAAACTCTGATAATAGCAATGAAAACAAAGTTTCATCAGTTAACTATAACAGGCTAGATGGGATCATTGGTTACATATGAAGATTCACAGCCATATTTATGCCAAAATTTGTTACTGAAAGTTATCTATCTGAATCAAGCTTTTAGTAATGACGCATGCTTACCGACATAGTATGAATGATTTAATATAAAGTACTAGACATGTCATGCTTTAGGTATTATGCATTGTGTATCTAAGAATGGCGTAACCATGTTAGTCATTCATAGGAATGCAATTTTGCCATTTGGTTTATTAATTTGCTAGTGCATAGTGCATAATTTTAAAGCAATTACATTATTGTACACAAAATGTAGTTTAAGAAATTAAATGACTTATAAAGGAATATGTCATAGCATAAATTCTGTTTCAAAATGCAGTTTTACTTTTGAAATAAAACTATTGTTTGCTACAAGTAAATAACATTTGAGAGACCAAAGAGCCACATGTGGCTTGTGAGCCACATGTAAGAGGTCCGAAAGTTGCTGTTTGGCCATACCTAATACATGTTATGGGTATAAGTAATCACTAAGAAGCAGAGGTAGTTAATACTTGTTCAATATACATAATTGGACATTACATATATTGCCTGTTGTAACAAGTTATTCTGTTATACCACATGATATCATTTGTGTCTCTTTATATAAATTTGAAAAATCGGTGTGAAGCTAAGTTTGTCGTGGAATATAGGAAAAACTTGGTTACATTAAAAAAAAAAAAAAAAATTGTTTATTATTTCGCGTCAGACTGAGCGCCACAATGATTTTTTTCACACCTGCTCCTATAGGTTCCTCAGCCTATCTTACATGATGTTCTTAGGGCTGATTATGGTATTACTTTTTTCTAAGTGTACCTTCTTATAGAGCAATTAACATCCTCTCACTGATCACACTTATCTCCAACTCAGTCAGTGCCAAGTGAAAAGCCAAACCTGGGCTAGACACTTATGAATTGGGTATCTTAAGTTTCCCAAGAAGTAACTCCAATAAAAAAAGGCAGCAGCCTGCAGTCATTATAACCAGGGCTGTGGAGTCAGAGTTATGGAGTTAGAATCAGAGTCGAGCAGATTTTGGGGTAAAAGGAGTTGGAGCTGGAGTCGCTAAAAACAGGTTGACTCCGACTCCAGTTTTTGTTGGACAGTTTGAACTTGAAATGAAATTAAAATGAATTAATGACAGCTGAGTTATTATTTTCTTTATGGACTACTAACATTAATAAATAGTTATTTTCTATTTTATTGACATATTAATAAATAAATATAAGGGAGGTGGATGGATGTGATATTTGCCATTAGTGATTAAACTGATTTATTTAGTTACTTCATTTAGTTACAAATCTTACTGATAAATTTAGATAAGCAGCAATAGCAGCAAGAATAGAACTCCCAAAATTGATGCCATTTCTTAGGAAGCGAGCAGGAAAAGGAGCAATTATTGATCAAGCAACACAATAAGGAAGTACATATTTGATGATAAAGAGGTTGTTAGAATTAAGAACTTTTTTAGGAGATTTAGATAACCGTAATGTTTCAAGAGCAGAACAGAAAGACTGTGGAATGATCTTGCACAATGGCAAAATTGATGCCATTTCTTAGGAAGCGAGCAGGAAAAGGAGCAATTATTGATCAAGCAACACAATAAGGAAGTACATATTTGATGATAAAGAGGTTGTTAGAATTAAGAACTTTTTTAGGAGATTTAGATAACCGTAATGTTTCAAGAGCAGAACAGAAAGACTGTGGAATGATCTTGCACAATCGGAAACTCTTCTTTCTACACTGTATATAGCCACAAAAAAGCTTCAATCTGAAGAATTGACAGGAGGAATGTGATGTTTGTTCTTTCTGAAATGCAGGGTTTATTGTGGAAGGATTTTTCTTTCTTCAACGAAGAAAAGAGAAACTAGTTTGCTAGACAATGAGATGTTGCTGGGTTCAATATATGTAGATCGAAAACACCAAATTTTCTTGGATGACGAACAAATTAAAAAGGCAAAGAAAGCCGACTATGAACTTTCATTAAGAATGAAATTATTCTCACAATAACTGGAGAATTCGAATCAGGACAGTCAAATTGCAGACATTGCAATTGAGTCTCTAGCATCCTCTTCCAGTGATGAATTAGATTTTGAGAAATATTTTTGGATAATATTGAAAAGGCTAAGACAAAGTGAATGAAAATAAAGAACCAAGAGCCTTTAGATATAAAAATGAAAAAATACAAACAAGATTTCTGCACTGCCTTTGAAGAAATAGAGAAATATGATTGCACCTGCTTTTAGAACTTATAAAAATCTATCCTGAAAAGTTAAAAGAAGTAGCCCTAACAGTAACAGCTCTTCCTCCTTCTCAATTTAGTGTGGGAAGACTCTTCTCAGCTCTGAAATTTATTAAATCAGATCTATGGCCCTCCAACAAAGAAGATCTTGCCGAAGCTATACTGTTTCTTAGAAATAACTAATGTCAGTTTTTCCATTTCATAATAAATGCTAATTAGTATAAATAATTCGCTATGCCATCATTTTTTTCTGTAGCATCTATTACTTCTTTTATATTAAAAGCTGTAGCCCATGTGTATATTTTTACATATATATATATGAGGGAGTCAGAGTCTTTAAAATTCCAGGAGTAAAAGTTGGAGTCGGTCATTTTCCCTACTGACTCCACAGCCCTGGTAACAACTGTGACCAGAAACAACAGTAGCACCAGTCAGCACACACACAAAAAAAAGTGCTCAAAGTTCATAATTTCCTGCTTTTTACATGCTCATTTATTTAAGCATTTCAGCTAATGAAAAATATTCCTTAGCAAGATGAACAGCCAGTCGTAAAATTCCTCTTACCTGTCAGACAAACTAAACTGAAATGAGTTTTTGTCTGATGACATGGCTTGCTCAAGTTATAACAGAAAAGCTGGCAAGGAACCCTGTCACCAATAGAATCTGATTCAATTTCTTTGCTGTTTTCATGATATTGTAATAATTCAACTTAATTTAAGTTGAAATGAATACTTTCTCGTTAATACATAATAATTAAAAATTGTTGTGAAAACACGTATTAAAAAATAAATATTTCCTCTTTTTTAATCATGTTTTTAGCTTACATTTCTCTCTCTCTCTCATTCTGTATATATATGTATATATACTTAATATCATCAGTTATCAGTATTTGCTAGTAACTTCAGTTTTTCTGGACATTTTTGCTATATGAAGAAAAATGTTAAATGAAAGAGATTAAAAAAAAAAAAAAAATAGTTGTTTGATTTCTATAGAATAATAATAAAAAAAATGTTACTTAACATTAGAATTGAAAATGTTTAAAATGCAGAAGGTTTTATTACTTCATTTTTATGTTAAATATTTACTTTTTGAAGCTCTGTATTTCATGTTAGTAATTTTTTTTTTTTGGTTTATTTTTTTTAATTAGTTGAACCTCCACATTCTTTTCATCCTGTGTATGGAGTTAATGTACGTTTGGATCCAATTGGAATTATAGCAACTAGGAAAACAGATTATAATCAGGGTTTAGCATTTAGTGCAAAACCTTTAGAAAAAGATGACCTGTATGAGGTGAGTTTTAAGATAAAAGAATTCCCTGTTAATATTCCATTTATTTTTATAATATAATCTACTTCAGTGTAGAAGTATGGACTGAAAATTCATAATGTGTGATGTAAATATAGTAGACATAATGTAGATATAATAATTAAATAATGAAATCAAAATTTGGTGGTTAGCAATCTAACAGGAAGAAAATGCACCAAAATTGTAATGAAAACAAACCATTTCAGTAAAATAAAAAAATGATAATATAATAAAATAAATGATCAAAAATTCCTTGTTCTTTTTCAAGGAGCAGCCAAAAAATATTAACAAGGAGCCATATTTCTGAGTTATATCTGGATGATTATGAACCAAAAGTAAGTTCTAAATAAATTAATTAAAAGAATGTAAGGCCATTAAAAATTTTTATTATACAAGTAAAGAATGCGAGATAAAGTATAAAAATTTTTTTGTCTTTTTAATAAATCAAGATTTAATTTGCTCCGACATAACCCAAAACAGAAAATATTGTATAAAATTTAAACAGTATAAAATAAGAATTTTCGAAATTAGAAACCAGATAAATGATTGCTCAAATAAGAAGCTATAAACTAAATTAATATTTTTTAAAACCAAGATTTAAGGAAATGAAATTGAAAAAACATTTGAAAAATTGTAGGCTGTTGGCATAAATTGTGAGATATTTCAACAAGGAAAAGGGTAAAATTTGGGAAAATAGTTAATTTAATAATAAATTGCAATAAGAATTCTTTGGAGAGATTAGTGTCCAGGAAAAAGTTTTACAAGAACTCAGCATCTATCCACATGGCATTGTTCAAATTAAATGCTTTAAGCTAAATTAATATCTTTCAAAATATGGATTCTGAGTTCTTGTAAAACATTTTCCGAGTCTTTAATCTCTCAAAGAATTCTCATTACAATTTGTTATTTATGTAATTCCTTTTCCTGATTTTACTATTTTGAAAAAAATTTTCAACTATTTATTTCATTATATTATTTTAATATGTTATTTTTGAGTTTTTTTTTTTTATGCAGCTTCCACACATTTGGAGATTTTTTAATTGTAAATAATTTCTAGTTATAAGAATTGTTTATAGATAGCCTACACACAGATATGCAGATGCATGCCAAAATGCATGGCTGGTGCATAACAGGAAACCTACTTTTTTATTTATTAATTTTTTTATATAGTTTTGACGTATTTTCTTCTTGCTAGACTGTTAACCCCCCAAATTTTGATTTAATTATTTAATTGATTTTGCAGCTTTTTAATAATTTAAATTTCAAATTTCTAAACTGTTGTTTTTATAATATATATATATATACGTGTGTGTGTGTGTGTAAGATAATAAATATATAACTATAAATTACATTTTAAATTAGCAATAACCCCTTCTAGTAATGTTCTTCTTTTTAATTTGTGGTTCTTGAAATTCGAAGTCGGCAACATTACGTCTGTGATTTAATTAGTGTTTTGCCGTTAACCAGTACTTGAAACTCAAGGGTATTTCAAATCAACTTCAAAATGATTCAGCATTTCATTCATTAGCCTGCATTAATAAGAAGTGTTTTCAAGTACCGTAGTGAGATCCTTTTATATTGAAAATCAACAGAGGTGGTCATTCTTGGTGCCATTTAACTCTACACATGTTGAACTGCAAGAAATGCTTTTCAGCCACTTCTGATTCCTATGTTTTCATACACTCCTTCTATATACTTTATGCACAATTATTTTCTTTCTTTCAAAGTATATTCAGTTATTGTTTTTTCAGTGAAACAAAACTGAAGCTGGCACAGGGGTTTTTAAAATTTTTGCATGAAGTGTTTAATTAAAATTTTATCATATTTGAGAATACATAAAACGTAGTGGTCAAAGACTGAAAACACAAATAATCTGATATTTTTATTTAATGATTTTGCATTTATTAATTTTGTAGGTACACATTTTAAATTTAAACAGGTAAAACTGTTTTCTTCTTATATTGGATAAAAGTATAGCATCGCTTTATGAAAATGAAATATTAAAAATTGTATGGTATTAGAAATATAAATTTAAGTAACTATTTTTGAATTAATTAAGTAAAGAAATTTAACATTTTTTCAGGGAACATTATTAATTGTAATGTTATTTATCATTATATTTTTTTATTATTTTTAAAATGTTTAAATTAATTTTAAGAATTTTATAATCATTCTGAGAATGAAATGAATATTTACAAAATAATATAAAAATGGCAATAATTTTAGAAATTAAATAATTCTAATAAAATAGATTATGAGTAATGTAATTAAAAGGTGAAATTAATACAGATAAGTAATATGAAATTATACAGTCCATACGGGTGATATCCTCCGATTGAAGGCATTCGCTTATGATGTTTGCATGGTGAGGATGGACGTTGTAATCCATAAACACAAATTGTGCGCCCATGGTGCCCGGAAACAAACGTACATGTTATTTTTATAATAAATAACTGGGTTGTCTCGATTACGTAAAGCAAGTTGTCTTTTTATCATAAAAATTCTAAAGGAACTGCTCAAATTGTTAAAATTTGGCCAACTTTCTTAAAATGTGTGAAAACAAAAACAGTACTAGCAAAAAGAAAGAAAGTAAAAAAAAACTTCCATTTGCATCATGAAGTTCTTAAAGCAGCATAAAATCCTATAAATGGCGTTAATCATTCTGTATATTTTATTATGGAATGTATTAGTGCAGTTTACGAAAAAAAAAAGATGACCTTATGCAGTTACCTTATGCAAGGAACAGAGGCTTTTCCAAGTAACTGTTGTAGCACCGTTTGCCCACGGCTACAGAATAAACACACCAGTTAGCTGAGGCAGCTATACCCTATTGATAGAAATGTTTATTTAGAATCACAGTGAACCTTCCAATTTGGTAAAATAAGGAAATTCAGATGAAAGATAATAATGGTGAAACCATAATTTCTGCATAATTCTTACTATATTTATGATAAAATACAATTTATCAAAATGAAAATTAGTGTCATAAATTTTTTCATATGTTACAGATAATTAGATTAAGTAATGGTTATGTAAAAGTGGGTGGGCTTCAACTGCGCAAATTAAAGTTCTCCCCCCATCCTCTCTATAGTCCAACTGCGTGAATTAAAATTTTACCCCATTGCCTACAGAGTTACAATTTAACTTTTCGAAGCCAGTTGTAGCCAAAGAGGAAAATAAAAATGAAGAAATAGAATTACATATCAACAATCAGAAGAACAAGTAAAGAATATCTAAAAAGCAGGCTAATTACTTGAATAACAGTAATAAATGGGAGAGCTAACAAAAATAGAAGGTATTGGTAAACATACATATTAGCATTACAAACATCTTTCATTAATTACAATATTAGATCAAAAAGTATTATAATAATATCATAAATTAAATAATTACAAAGCATACCAATTATATTTTTTATAAATTGCATCAATAATAGTCAAGATGTCTGAACTTGACTGGAAAATTTAATATAGTTCACTGGCATGCAAAAGATTATTCCCAATCAAAGTGTGTTAAAGTATGCTAGAAAAATTTTTCGTTAATCAAAGTAATCATGTAAATGCTTGTAGAAATGAATAGTTAAATTAAAAAAAAAGCTTAGCATGAAATCTATTATAACTTTACTATGTGTTTGGAAAACTAATGTATAAATTGTACATAAATTTAAATTATTATGCTAAGAAGTTTTTTCTAAAATTTATCTAGAAGAAAAGAATTAGATAAACAGTACTGCAAATTACTATAATCAATCACGCCTCTCAATAAATAAAAGCTTATTTTTTTAACAAAAAACTAAAAATTGGAATGCAAAAGTTTGTGTAATATACTTGAAAATATCTGAACATATAATTAATTAGAAATGTACAATTAAATTAATAACAAGCCAATTAACAATAAGCTTAATTTCATTCAATCTAAAACAAGCAATAGGTCAGGAGCTCCACATAACTGAAGTTTTATTATTTTACATAGATTTGCATAAAAAATAAATATTTGCACTTGTGAAACAAGTGAATAGTATACTGATCGTCAACAGGAATTAAATTTGTTCAGATATTTTCAAGTATATTACACAAAATTTTTAAAAGTGGTTAAAAATATAACTACTTGTGAGAAGGTATGCAAAGTTACCATAGCTACAGAAATTGAATGATTATAGAAAACTCATAAAGTTAAGCGCTGCAGTGTGAAAAGAAAATTCTGGAATAAACATGTTAAGAAAATTAGATGGAGAAATAATCCTTAATTTATTGATATCCATATAAACTCTATGCTTTTGGAAAAGGTTATGCATAATTTGGACTGAGATATCAATCATGGAATCCGAGTTAATTTCTTTGCTTATATTTTCTTATTAATCCTTTCTGGCACGCTACCTTTTAAAGTTGGAATTTCGATTTAAAAAAAAAAAAAAAAAAAGCTAGGCAGTTTAATTAGGCCTAGAGGAGTACACAAGTAAAATTTTGTAAAGATAGCACTTATCGTTTCAATTCTGTGGGTGTACCCGAAACAGGCACACTGATTGAATAGAGCTTCGAAAAGAGTGCTGAAATGAGCATTGCTGGGAAGCACTTAAAAGAGTAAGAGATTTTGCCTACGATTCAAAAAACACTAGATTTTTGAATACCATAGCAGATTTAGCATTACCCAGGTTGTGCCACGGCAAGATCTGCTACTCTACACCCCACTAAAAAGTGCATTTTTTGGTTATATTATGATTACATGCTTATGAATGGGAAAAAAAATTAACTTGGGTATATGATATTTACATTTCATATTTACACTTTAGTCTATTTTTTTCATTGTGGTACTTTTCGAAGAAAGTGACACCACCTTTGAAAAAGCACAACCCAATATTACATGTTTTGCACATGTGCTGGCATACGTATCAGATTCTCTATCTGAAAGCAATTCATGTAGCATTTTCAGTGCTTTAGAAATGGTCAGCCCTCTCCGATCTGTTTGAAAAATAATTAAAAATCCGA